CTGACGCCGTTAAAGAATGAGGGGTCTCGCCGCACACGAAAGGAGGGAAAAAGTATTTGGGAGGGAACTTGCGGACACTAACACGCTCACTCTCGGTTCTTAGCAAACAGACCTCGGCGCCTCGGGACACCTCGCCAGTGAGTCCTTTGACTTCCCTCCTTGATGCGCATCTGCTAGTTGTTAGACAAAAACAACGTACCGCTCGAGTTATTTCGTCTGCCCTCTCTGAAAAGCTCGCTCGTAAAGACCTGCACTTCCGAAAGTCGCAGGAAAGGTAAGACAGACGCAGATGATGTTGTGAGCAGACGACATTGCAAAGGAGCAGACGACGCTGAGATAGGGGGTCGCGATCAGCCAATCGGCTCGGCGTTCTGACGTCACCGCTACTTCCTTTCTCATGCGCAGAAGACGAAAATGAGCCCACTTGCGAGGCGTATAGAAACTCATAAAATTGGTTTACATGGCTAAAACTTTGCATGCCCTTCCTCTATGTGGCCACAAACACCACCTGCAAATATCACACCGATTGAGTGAGCGGTCAAAAAGTTGACATTTGCATGTAGTGTCTCCCTTAAATGGATACTACAACGAAATTTCAGCACTTATTTTTTGGTCTATTCTTGTTCAAAGGAGCAGTATCACATCAGGTATACTTAATAAAAAAGACACAAAAAGGAAATTTAAAACAAATTAAACGATTAGCGAAGAGGATGTCGCTAAAGCCTCGTTTGTGATGCCCGCCTAGGAACCTTGACAGCTAGTGACGATGCCTGTCTCACCTCTGGCCACCACTAGAGAAGAGGGGAAGGAGGAACTCCCCTCTCACCGGGACTCTCTTATGCGTGTCCTAGACGTCGCTATTGTCCCTCTACAAGATCATAGAAGATTAACCCATCACTCAAAATTTGTACAGAAGCAGCTTTTGTGTTAGTTGCGGTGGCCCGATCGGTTGGCGTGCTTCGGCCGCTTCAGTGGCTGGAACGGCTAGAACATACTGTTGTGTTGACGTCAGCCTCGCCGAAGCTTTGTTCATCCCAAAGAAATCAACGTCACGATTGCGCTAGATGTCACAAGTGCCAAAAACAAATCTCGCGCCTCTAATCATTCTTTGCAGCAGGTGGAGAACTCATTGTAGTTTACATAAAAATGTCTGCAGATTAAATAATGCTTTGAGTAAAAATGGCTCTAAGACACTGAGCATGATATTCAGCATGCAAATTTCTAGCGTAAATCTATTTTTAAAAAAATTGCTGGTTCTGGAAGCTTTGGTAGTGAGCGCGGTTATAGACCGCGGGCACCAGCACAATCCCCTGGCTTGAAAGCTCATGGCCACTTGTGAATTCGTGTAACACGAACATGTCTTCATGCCTCTCGAATTTCGAATTACAAAAGGACTGTGTCTTCAGATTCAAAGTAATGTCTTGATTGCCATTCTTTGGTTTCCTTTGGTAAATTGCAGACTGAATGCCACACTGAATAGTAAATGTGCCAGACTTTTATGAAAATTGTCTTTTTGGTGGCTAAATAAACAATTCTAAAGACCAGGACATGATATATACAAATTTAGCTTAAAAATAAGCAATGCTTACAGATATATACCCAGTAATAATGTCCTAGGACATATCGTCACGAATGACAAAGGATGAAGCGGTGAATAAATTGAGAAATAAATGTTTAATTGGGCAAACTTGTGCCCATAACAAAATGGAAGAAGGTTAGCGTCACTGGCGGCGTAACAGCAGGATCGAGCGCTGGGGCGAGATGTACTCCGGCTCGCTACGCGGAGCCCCTTATGTACATGCATGGGCCTTTAGAACGATCAGTGTAGAAGGTTCGGCACGTAGAACTTTCAGACCTCGAATAAACAACAGAATTCTTGAATGCACCAGGATGCAACACTTACAGAAATAACAAAAAGGTGCCTCTGCTCTGAGGCATCGAACCTTGGCCCTTTGTGTGGGAGCCAAGCACGATAAACATTTGGCGACGGACTGCCTATTTTGCTAGCTATATGCGCAAAAGTATTTATAAATGCCCCCCCCCCCCCCTCCCCCAAAGTGCACTCGGATTGTTGAAAAAAACAAAGAAACGCCACATAATGGCCGGTTTTATATACAAATGAGCTACCTGCCCTTTATATTATAAAAAAACGGCCATACCAGTCAAAAATTGGGCAGGTGGCAACCCTAGCTGATGGGGTGGCACACTGTTTGCTTATTTGGCGGGTTTGTTACTGCTGCTTGTCTGCAACAGCTTTTACACATTGGCCACTGGATTGACGAGGGCTTCTTTGGTGCATTGCTTAGGCAAGCCTAGTGTGCCCTTTGCATTGCAGTGCTAATTGTGCCTGTTTTTTGTCGGGACTCTTCAGTTTCTTTTTCGTAGACATAGGGGAAACTGAGTCACTTGAGCACCTTTTAAGGAAACCCGACATCACAACTCAAGCTGGACAGCAGCACGGCTGTTATCAGCTTACAATAGGTGAATGGGTATTAACGGTCGTATCTTTATGACGAGAGGTAGCTTGTGCCGCTTAGCCTAGAGAACAAGTATGACCTCCCCTTTTGATCTGCGTCGGAGATACACGAGTCAAAACATGCACGGACCTGCTCCCGTACAACAAAACGCAATGTCAAAAGAAACTTTTAACATTTTGTTGTTTCCGTGCATGCTGCCTTAGCCGCTGGCATACAGATGGCAGCCTAACTTGCTGAGCCCTTGGCGGCTCCAACGAGGCTTGGCACAAACTCAAGCCTGATATAGTAATGCCTTTTCCTCAAGTAGAGCGAAGTGGAATGAAGTGATACATGGACTTCATGCAGCACAGTCTGGTTAGATGCCTATGATTAAAGCTAGAGAATTTGTTTTTACTCTATCAGATACCTGCTTGGGTAGTTCTCCTATTCTTCCAGCAGATAAAACAAAGCCTGTAATCCAATTCAGTCCACCTTGTAAATGAATATGTTGTCAATGAAATGTCTCAAGAGCATGTTACTATGAAATGGCACAATGTCAACCAAATCTGTGTCCATGAAAAGCTGTCCATGAGATGAAACAATATGGACCTCATATTTGACTATTTAGGTCCTGGGATTTGGGCCCTATTAAAGGGGCACTCAAGTGGTTTTTGGGGAAGCTACTTTTTGGTGCGATGGCGTTAAGGAAGTGTCAGTGAATGAGTGTCTTCAGTTTTAGAAGGCAGGACCGCGTATTAATCTCGCAAGAATAAAATATGTGCGGACTCTTTTCTGTTCCTGTGCCGACCAATGAAGTTATCGTATGTTTGAAAATTTTGGCGGCCTTTGTAAAGTTTCGTTAAAGAGACAATTTTTAGTTCATTTAGATATGTTATGCATGATAATTTCACAAGATGTAAAATAGTTATAGTTTAGAATACGCGATACTGCAATTATTGTTTCACAAACAAGGGACTATGTTTTCTCCTTGCCTTCCTCCGCGGGGGGTGAATTTCCCGTTCCCTCGGGATGCGCGGAAGCGCACGTATCATGAACTCGCGCTTCAAACATGGCGTCGGTGGGGATCGTCGACGGGGATGGCGTGGTGAAAGTTCATTGTTCCGCGTAAAAGCGCTATCCTTGACTGTGAATTTTCGTCGTGTGTCGTTATGATAACCCAGCACATACTAGAAGGGGAGATCCACCTACTCGTGCGGCGATGTCGTGGCTGCACTCTCAAGACAGCAGAAACGTCCGTGCTGTCGTGTTTGTTTACTTCGACTACAGTGGTGCTTCCAAAGCATTTGTTTCCTCGAACATCGCCCGGATTTCTTATTTGGCGCATTTCATGCGTGTGCTCAAGTTCAAGGTATTACTGGTGCGTACCATATAAAGGATGCGAATTTTCACGCGTTTTCATCACCGGAGAAAAGTGATTAGTGTTAGCAATCCTGAACGCTCGCAACATCTATCTGATCACGAAATTATATTTCTACGTTGCTATATCGCTGCTAAGATTACATGTCTTTGATAATCGTAAAAAAGCCGTGTGGCGATATTTGTACTATTGGCAAAGTCGTGTATTAGAGTCGTGATTGTCCAAGACGGCGTAGTGAATCTTTTTCTTTTTTTCATCCACTGTACCCTGCGAGCCTATCATGAAAAAAATTAATAAATGAAGTTTTAGGCTATAGAAAACTGTCTGTCTATATTCTGTTAGGGCATTGAGTGGCAGTGCATCCCCTTTTTAGAGGCACCGCTGAAACAGCTGACGGCGGCTTAGAAGCGGTCGCCGTGCTGCCGACCCCCTGCGCTTGTTGCAGCGGTTGCAGGTGTGTGTATGCGCGGCGCAGAGCGGTCGTTCCGGTCACTCCGGTTGCAACAGACGCAGTCGTAGGTAACACGCTCGTTGCACAATTCTGAACCAGCCTGCCGTCCTCCCGAGGCGAAAGTCAACGTGGTGACATCGTTTGACATCACGTACCAGAGGTTACGCTGCAGTGACAAATGTTTGTTTGGTTACGGCTTGCCCTAACCGCAAATCGAAGAACGCCCGAAAAGGTCTGCGTTTCGTCGTCCTCGGAACCCAAACACGATTCCGAAGCCCTGCTATCGTCCACATCGCACGTCGGAGTGGCGTCATACGAAATCATCCGCAGGTCGGTTGTCCGCCGAAGAATTTCAACCTCTAACGGCGTCAGGTCCTCGAGCGTAGAGAACTCCGCCATGATCAAAGCTCGAATGACAAAGAGGTTCGGCCGGTGCGGCTCCCTCGGGATCACTGCGCGACGGAACGTCGTTCAACGCCATTGGTCCGAGATCGTTTTGATAGGCGAGCGGTGACCAATGAGTGTGGTTTCGTTTTCAAATAGATCCGAGGTTCGGCGGCCTTCAATTACATTTTTAGTAAAGAAATAATCACCGCATGACTACATTTTCTGGTTTTTAGGGATACTTAGAGTGCCTAGATTCAGTTATCATCAAAACGCGAACTCAAAAACCACTTCAGTGCCCCTTTAATATTCTTGACAATGTCTTTTCTAGGCCACAAAGGAGCACCTCTGGAGGAGACAACCTGCCCATTGGAAACTGCCAGCGACATCCAATTTAGCTGTTGTTTCTGCAACTATGTCACTAGAGAACAGCGTGGAATTGTGAGCCACCTAATTGCTCATGCTAACGAGCAACATATCAATACCCTGCGTTGCCCAATGTCATTTTCTGCAAAACAGGACTGCAGCATTCGCTCTACGGGCCACATGAATGAAAGGCCTTTTGAGGACCATTTGTGTCCGGCAGCATCCCATGAAAATGGTGACCTGTGCAGTTATGAGCAAGTGGACGCTCAAGAAAAGTCTAAATGTCAGCTCTCTCCCATGTCACAGAGTTCCCAAGAGCCCATTGCAGCTAAAAAAGTGTTTCAGTGCCCCAACTGTCCAAAGACCTTTCTTAGAAAGCAGTCCCTTGTACGCCACAAGTGTATACACACAGGAGAGAAACCTCACAAGTGTCCATACTGTTGCCGCACCTTTGCTCGAAGTAGCACTTTAATAACTCACGTAGAGACACACACTGCTGGAAAACCCTACAAATGCCAGCAATGTAATGAGACCTTTGCTACTAGGAGCCAGTTGGCCAGACACGCTACCATACACACAATCGACAAGCCTTTCAAGTGTCAGCTTTGTCCTAGCTCCTTTGTTGTGAAGAAAACTTTACAAGTGCACATTGGGAGGCACACTGCTGAAAAACCCTGCAGATGCCAGCAATGTAATAAGACCTTTGCTACTAGGGGGCTTTTGTTCAGACACATTGCCACACACAGAAACGACAAGGCTTTCAAGTGTCAGCTTTGTCCTAGATCCTTTGCTATGAAGAGAAATTTACGAGAGCACATTAGAAGGCACACCGGTGAAAAGCCTTTCAAGTGTCAGCACTGTAATAAGGCCTTTTTTTCCAGCTCTAATTTGATGAAGCACACTTACGTACACATAATCAAAAAGCCTTATAAATGCCCCCACTGTCCCAGAGCCTATACTCAGAGTGGCACTCTAGAAGCTCACGTAAGGATGCACACTGGTGAAAAACCTTACAGGTGCTGGCAGTGTAGGAAGGCCTTTACTCACTGCACCAGTTTGACCTGGCATGTTAACACACACATAATCGAAAAGCCCTTTAAGTGTCAGCTTTGTCCCATGAGCTTTTCTGCACAGCCTCTCCTGAGCATTCACATGCAAGGACATAAGGTTGCATCTCGTGGGGCTTCTGTGGCATCAGAAAAAGGGGATAGGCCTTTTAAATGTCCGCAGTGTCCCAAAGCTTTTTCTGTGCGATCTCGCTTGACCATTCACATGCAAGGGCATAACATTGAGTCTAATGGGGCTCGTACGGAAGCATATAAAGGTGATAGACCTTACAAATGTCTACATTGTCCCAAAGCTTTTGATTGGAGTACCTCCTTGGCCATCCACATTCGAACACACACAGGCGAAAAGCCTCACAAGTGCTAGCAATGTCTGAAGGCCTCTTTCTAGAGTACCTTTCTGGGTAGCCACATTTAAACACACACAGGCAAAAGGTCTTGGAGGTGCCAACAGTGCCCTAGGACCTTTGCCAATTAAGCTAGTCTGACCAGACAGATTCGAATCCACACACGCTTGAAAGGCCTTACCAATATGAGCAGTGCCTCAAAATCATCACTGTGCAAGGACATAATGCTGGTCAGTCTCATGTGGCTTGTATGGATACCTATACAGGGAATAGGCATTACAAATGCTTACATTGGCCCAAGGCCTCCAAGTGCCGTTCCAATCTGGCCAGCCATGCAAAGACCACCATGCAAGTGTCACGAGGGCCTCTCCTTGCAAGGCCACTTCTAAGAGGTGGGGGAAGGTGCAAGGGAGAGCAGATTGGTTTGAGAAACCAAGATGTCTCACCGACTGTCAACCCAAAGTTCAAGGTTCTTCAGTTGAAGGAGAAAGTCACCGAGGCCCATGGGAAAGCAGTGCCCCAAGTCAGACATCTGACAAGATGGGCCTGCGATGCTTTATGGTTCGTGCCAAATGCCAGGACCATCTTAATGCCGTTTACTACCAAATATTGATAAAATCAAAGCTGAGTTGAAGAAATTATGTGCTGCAGAGGGAACAGTCTTGAAAACAGTGATTTTTCACGGGTGGATTGTAAACAAAGACTGTTTGAAATAAGGACCTAATGCAGATAGCCAATTTTCTATCGGCGCCTGATAGCTTGATGTCCTTCACAAAAAGCATGTTTTCAGCTCACAATTTCGGCGAAGTTTCTTGTTCCGCGACATGGGGCTAAACTACTGATGTGCCGTGCTAGCTTCACATACTGTAAACGACTTTTCGCGGGCTCAAATTTTCGCGAATCGAGCCAAAGCTGAAAATTTGAAATTATTCGCGGGTTTTAATTTTCGCGAATCGAGTGGAGCTTCCATAGCTTTCACATATTGCCAGAATTTTTCGCGAAAAATTTGCAAAAATTAGGTCCTTGCGAAAATTTTGTCGTTTACAGTATGCTGTCCGAAAGCGATATGGACATGTCTAGAGCCACTAAACTATGCTTCGGTGTAGCGACACCAACCATTTTGTTGCTTAAAATCATTTCCGACAGTTATCGAACTTGCAGCAAACATTTTTCTTTCCCTTACGAGTGTTAGAACAGCCTGCGACGGCATAACTATATCGCCTGAGGTTACTGATGCCACATCTGGAGCTTATGAAGTTGCATTTTCGAATCAAGAGTATTGCCAATTCTGCTCTGAAGCATAGCTTATTGTGTGGGTCTAAATATGTCCGCAATCAACCCTCGTGACGTCCCCTCATCTTATAATAGAAGAATGTTTAGACAGCTTAGCCCCAAGATGTACCTCAGTGCTAAACGTCTAAACTGAACGTGAAAGCTGCCATTAAAAACACTGGATGGAAGGTGGGGAGCGGTGTGGAAAACCCCAGTTTTTACAAAGAAATGCTGAAAATTATTTAGCCTGTGATGCAAATGACTCCTTAGACGTAATAAGAATTCCAGTGATGGTGCTGTTTGAAAAATTTAGGGACAAGGATTTAGCAGTGTTACAAATGGCCAAGATGCAAGGCATTATAGTTTTGCCCTTTTCAGTGTTTTGGAATGAAAATTACCTGTAAAGAAGGGCGATGAGCATTTTTAAGTGTTAGAAATGTGTCGCCGGTTCTTAACGAATCAACCAGGAACTTCTTGTGCACTTTAAAAATTCAAGTACCAGCTTCCGAATTTTTGCTTGCTAGGGTTTGCTTTTGCAAGTTTAATTATTGAGACAGTGATTGAGGTAATTTTGTTATTTTTGACGGTTTTATCTTTCATTGCTGAGGTTTAGGCTTCCCAGCTGTGTGACCCTGCGGGAAGTGGCTGGAGGTGGTGAATTTGTGGCACCATGTCTGTTGTATTCTACTTTGCTTGCCACGGCCAAGGATGACTGCCAGTATATGAGAGTGTGACTTCACTTGCACTTCATGACACTGTTGGTAACAGGACTTCAGCACTTCCTTGTGTTTTGTTAAAAAAAAAACATGCCCCACCACACTATGTAGATATTGGAAATAATCGAGTTTCGATAAAGATACAAAAAAAAAGAAAGAAAACTGGCAATCGCTCTTTCGTGTTATTACTGTCGTGCTGTGTACATAGATGGTTGCATATGTGATGCACGTCATTGCTGTTGAAGAGAAAGCTTTTGACAATGAGTGCTGGAAATGTTGCAGCCAAGTTTTGAGACCCTTGTGTGCATTATCCCTTTATCTGTTCCTTAGACTCGGGTTCCCAAAGTGGCAAGTTCACTAGTTCGCCCATATTTTTTTGTCTTGCGCTTGAAGATCTCCGATCAGACGTATGAATTGCCAGAAAGATGGCTGCTCCGGTTCGTTGCACACGACAGTTCGAGACGCGCTTGCTACCTTGCTTCTGACGAGTTATTCCTTTCAGCTCTTCCCAATTCTTTCGGGTATCCCAATAAGGGAGGCTTGGCCACTATGCGTCAGCATCTCAATGGTGCTTAGCTGCGCTCGATCGTGGTAATACCTTCCCACGACAACGGACATTATGAGTATATGGTTTTCTGGTTTTTTAATTCTTATATTTCATTCAACTATGCCAGTCTTAGAGGATTTTATGTAAAGTTAGTATTTTTTGGCTCAACATTGCCTAATTAATGCGGCTGGGGGAATTTGGTTGACTCGTTTTCAAATGTTGGCAAACATGCTCCAGTTCACTTGCGAGGAACTCCAGTGGATGTTATGAGCCATCCTGGCAGATCAAGCACTGCATACATATCGCGTGACTATGCACCCCGTGCATTGCTGCATCTTTCCCCGAGGTCACGCGACGCTCGCATAAAATGCCAATGCGTGCAAACATTTCTACAATTGCTCCCATATGAAGTGCCGTTTTAACTAAATAAATATCGTAAAGAAAACATTATGAACAATTTTCCTTTCAAGGAATTTAGGAAGTTTTTGTGGAAAACAGAATTGCAATTTCTTGTATCATATCATGTATGTCCAAGTCACCAAATATCTTTTTGTCGTGTGAATCCACTTAGACATAAAATGTGTAATGAGCTATAGTGGTTATCTGCAATTATTTTTCTTTTCATCTTATGTGCTTGAATGTATATGCATTTTATTGTCTATTTTTGTACTATGTTGCACATTTTGTATTATTCACTTGTTTTTCATAGTTTCTGTAAAAATGCCGAAGTTGTGCAGTTTTTTCTGGTTTTACTTATTTTTTTTGATGAAACTTTGCTGCTGCTTGTATGGGCCCCCAGACACCCTCAAGCTGTCTTTGACGGCATTTCTTCTGGGGACCCCCAACGACATGTTGGAAAAATAAACAAATTGGAATGAATGGTTTGTAGCGTTAGCCGCCATTTATCGAAAGGTGAAATGGGAGTAGCTCATTTCTCCCAGAGCTCGTTGTTTGTTTCCCCAACACGAGGCCCGCTGACTCGATTCTTTATGTCTTCCTCCTCGATAGAGCACGGAGCACGGCGTAATGTAAAAGGAGCGTCAAATTGGAGGGACGCAACGAGCCGAATCTCCCGAAAACAGTCGTCGGAGGATGCAAGCTCGACCCATTTTTAGCTTCGTGTTGAGCAGGTGCTGAACATGTGCATGCTGCATCGTTCACACGGGCCGGAGTGGCCAGAACCGTATATGGGAAGAGTTTGGCCAGCTCTATGATCTCGCTGCCGTAACAACCTCCTCCCAAGTGAGCCTTCAGTCTGCAGCACAGAACAACAGGCGTGAGGGCATGTGCGTGAACTCCCGGCTCCTTCCGGCTGAGCGGGGAGGGCCATCATTTTCATTCATTCGCCTGGCGGAATGCACGGGATCAGCATCCAAATTTCGGTTCCTTCCTTTTATTTGCCAGGCTCTGGCAAGAAAATTATATATTGTTTTTGCCTCGGTGGCTTAAAAAGCTAACGAATGAAGTTTCTCCATGTTTGAACGCAAACTTTTATTCGAGCGAAAAAGAAATAAGCTTGTAGCAGACGACGCGTAGCCTCAACAAAGCTCTGCACCGACAGTGTGTTGCGTCAAAATGGCGGTCGTCTCCTTTTTGCTCCCTTCTTTCTCTCGCTCCTTGGGCGCACTCCTCCCTTTCCTTCACTCTCCTCCTCTCCAGCACCTTTGTTGCCAAACTCTCTTAATATACGGCTCTGGGAGTGGCTACACGAGAGCCCCTTAATTGAGTGGTGGAAGAACAGAATCCCCGGCCGAATGCTGTTTCATCGTTCGACCGTGTCGTCCTTTCCGTGGGAGTAGTTCTAAAGCTAGAGCTGCTAGGGGTGCGACGGTTTGGTTTCGTCCCCAATAGTAGTTGTGTCTTGGTGGTCCCAAAGGGTCGGCGTGGTACGGACGGCCAAAACGAGTCACTCGTTTTGTGCAGTGTACGAAAACTGCGTGGCGTTCGTTGCCTTCACGTATGCACCGCTTGCGTCGAGGGTAGGCCATTCTCTGTCCTTTTCGTGCCCAGCCATAAGTCTCAGGGAGCATGTGCAACCGCGTGGCATCCCTTGCCGCGTTTACAGGAATGCGACTTGGTCGCATCGACTCCAGTTGTCGCATTCAATGCAGTCGTGTGAATGGCATAAAGCCCTAGGAAAACACGTTGCTTTCTAGTTGCTAGACAGAAACGGATTGAGACTGCGAATGCGCATTCATTCGGCTCGTGTAAACGAGCGGTATAGCCAGGGGGGAGGCTTCTGGGGCTTCAACCCTCCCAGAAATCGAGCCGACCCTATAATATACACGTGCATTTTTTTTTGCGTCTCGTAATTTCTTGCAGTCAAAGATGGCGGGCACCATCTTTACGCTCGTCGAAAGGGCCTCCATGCCATATGCTTTAACCTTGAGATGAGACGCGGCAGGGCATCAAGTCCTTTGCATAGGACTTGATGGGCATCTATGTGAAGGCTCGTTCACACAGTTGCGTTTGACTGCATTAAGACTGCTTGCATTGAGCTGTTGCTGTGGCGACCCTTGCAACGGGCCAGTGGGGAGGAGCTGTGCTGTACGACGCAACGCAGTCGACGCAGCTGTGTGAACGTGGTGTGAACGAGCCAATGTTCACCAGTCAGCTTCTTTCTAAAGATGATTGGAGTCGATGTGCTTAAGTCACATTCATGTAACTGGGGCTCCTGTCACTTGCGAGTTGGGCGTTTGGGTGTAGGATGTGGCCGTTGCATTGCACTCTCTTTCATCCGGTTTATGTGAGTGGAGTGAAGGCGAAGCTGGCAATGTGCAGTCAGTCTCCTGTCACGGCGCTCAGCGAAAGGCCGCGTAGAAATGAGAGAGGGAGAGACTCGTGGAGAGGAGGAGAGATTTTCGAGGGAAAGAGGGCTTGACCACGCCACATTGTCTTCAAGTGCACTGCACTGGACGTTCTTCATCAAGGGAGTGCACCCTTCCGGTGTGGCTTTTCGTGGCCCGGACACACACAAAGAAATCGATGGTGAGCCGGGGTGCAGTCCCATCAAGCATTGCGGACTGGGCCCGTTTGCTCGAAGCCAGTTAACTTTTACCGTGGCAAAAAGTTCATCGCCCTTCCCTACTAGGTACTATTGGGGAGACATGAAATGCGAACGGAGGAGTGCGTGGCTCGCGGTACAGGCTGCACCACCTGGAAGTGAGAGAGAGAGAGAAAACCTTTATTTTCGTTCCGAGTCCGGAGCTCCCTGGAATTGAGCCTAGGGGCGAGGGTGCTTGGCCTACTTCGATGTGTTCACGCCCTTCGCTCTGCCCTCCCCAAGCTTCGGCATTGCGCCTCTCAGTGCGCTGAAAGCTATCACCGCTATCTTTGCTGGCTCAGCACGTGCAGTGCGAAGGAGCTCGCCGCACGCGCCGAGCGAGCAAAAATAGCGGTGATAGCTTTCAGCGCACAGAGAGGTGCACCGCCGAAGCAGCACAGCTTACTGTCATCGCCGAAGTGCCATGTGCGAAAGGAAGATGCGGCACATATAGAATATGTGCTGCGTGTAGGGATGCTTTAATTACAAGTATAAGCAGTCTTAAGGGACATTGACACCCCCCAAAAAAAGTTTTTTAATGTTTTGCCGGGCAATCATTATGGTGTACCAGAACACTACCCAATCATTATTTTGCCACAGTGTCACATATGTTTTTAATAAAGTAAAAAAACACAACTGCTTGAAACCGAAGCTGGACTGGGAAGGAAGGAGAAATATAGAGGAGGAGAAAGTTACCGGAAATCGCATGGGCATGCACGTCTTTTTTTCATTCAATGTATTTCCAGCTTTTTAGAAGCCACAAAAAAAAATTGGTATCATATTTTATTTATATTTTTAATATTGGGTGTGTGCTTTCAATGACCGACATTGATTCTATTTGGTGGTTGTGTCTAAACCATAAAAAAACGGCACGTGACCACAGAGAAAAGAGTGAGCGTGACTCAAACCGGCCAGTTCTTTATTGGCGGTTTTCGGGCAGAAAGAAAACAAATTTTGAGCCGCAAATTGTGCTCTGGGAAGTTGGTCTCTCATATGTCATGTGCAAATAAAAGCCTTGGCGAGCATAAATACCCTGTCAGCGTCTTTCACAGGGGTGAGAGATGGGAAGAACACGATCACTTCGATCTGATAAAACCTACCGGACGGAGCGCGCGCAAGCTTGCAAGGAATCCTTCTACGATCAACCATCCATCTCGCACGTGACATGTCACGCGCACCAATCGCCAGAGAGATTCACGTTGGGCCAACCGGAAGTAGTCTGGTCCCCCGAAGTTCCGCCGGTTCCGCCATTGCTTGTTTATGTTTACCTCGACCACCACGACGTTAGTTTACCAGGGTTTACCTTCAATGCTACCTTCAAGAACGAGGTTGAAAGGTAAGCATCTCGTGCCTTGAGCGCCTTGAGCGTTCGGCCAAGGTGCCGTAGGCGTCGTTGTTGTTTACACAACGACAACGAAATGATAACACGTGAAGAGAACAGTCGAGTCGGAGCCGCCTCGTCAACATTTTTGCTCCACGTTACGTGAGCTTCTTGGGGTTGATCGTGCCTCGCCCGCATTAACGCTCGTTCAAAATGAATATTTGCAAAAAGTCGAGAAGGCCAAGTCAAAGCCACAAAGCTACCCGCTGGTGGTTGTAGCCTTGTCATCGTGGTACAAAAATGTTGACGCCGATGTGTCTTTACCTGTCATTTGTGTGTCTGTTTCTTTTTAAATTAGAATGTATTTTTTAACCCATCCGTTAGAGCTTTTGTTAAGTGATTCGTAAACCGAGAGCATGCCTAATTTGCATAAATGAGCGCTGTACAGGCTCGTTCACACCGGCGATGTGCAGCAGTCGCGCGGTAACTTTCATCGTAAAAGCGACCATCGCTGAAAAAAAAGCGACGCATTTCGAGCAGTCGCTATAGCTGACCCGACTTTTTGCGATGCGATCTAGTCACGGAGTGGTGGAGGCAATGTCAGACGGGCCTATGAGCCTGCACCCACGATTGCCTCTATTTCTTCTACATCGCCAACACACACCCCCGTAGAGCGGCAGAGCCAATCAGCGGCGTTCGGAGCGAGAGGTTTAGCGACTCGCTCGCGCCAACGTAACCATCCGATATTTTTTTGTTTTTTTGCGATGCATTGCGCGCGTGCTCTACATCGCCGGTGTTAACGTGTCTTACCGGTTGGCGTTTGAAGCAGTACATTTTTAAGGACGAGACTATTTTGCCGGCAGTGTAGTCCGGGTGGAAAAATGCCGGCCGTTTCTTCCCATTGGCTGTCTGCAACCACGTGACTATACTACCGGCATATTTTTGTGGGGGATATTGTGCCGACAGCGGGCATTATAACGCGCCCCAACGATACACGTGCAACGAAATGTCCCTACAGCATGCAATTTGAGTAACAAGTATCAATGATATGTGCGTTTCGACAAAACTTGCGTTTATCACTGGGGCGTATGTTAACCTACCCAGCCCACCAGTTCATGCCGCAACTAGGTGACAGTATGTGGCGGCTCCTTACAAAAACGTTAACCCACCTGGTTTACCCGTACACGCCACTCGCAGCGGTTAAGTACCCCGTGGACTGTGCAGACATACTCAGCATAAACTGGAAATCGGCGACCGTACATGAGTGCAGCCAGCCAATGATAGGGCACTTCTGGCAGTATTTCTCCAGAGCTGCTGTGCCGGCTGCCAGTAATATATCCACTCCCAATTTGAACCGAAAAAAAACAAAAAACAATAAGGTACTAAGCGCGAGCACGCGCAGCGCATGTACCTACAAACTCGGCGTATTAACCAGTTAACCATATGACGTTCCAATCTGGTAAAAGGACTCTTGAATATATGTCGGTAGTTTCCGCTGCATACTCCACGGAGGCTTGAGTGGGATTCTAAACCACGTATGTAATGTGAACCGGCTTATCTGTTTAATAACTTTTGCTTAAATGGTAGCAGCACACATAAGACCTAATGTCAGTGGACTCGTTTGATTTACCTGCAGTGGTGAAGGTGATAGATCTTACGAGCTCGTTGTTCACCGCTTCACACTACTTATGCATTTTTTTTAGGGGCAAAGCTGCTTAGGGTCTAGCCGTGTCCGTCTGGCGTCCGTGCTCACATCGATCTTGCTGGTGCTCGTGCTCGTGCTCGTGAGCTCACGTGCTCACATGCTCGTGTAGGGCAAAAAAGAAGAAGAAAAGATGTTTGTGCAGTCGACAGGATTTGAACCTGTGCGGGGAGACCCCAATGGATTTCTAGTCCATCGCCTTAACCACTCAGCCACGACTGCGGGACGAGTAGGGGGCTCTGAGATGTGGTAGTAACTCAAGATCTGGGGATGTCATGGATAAAACCTTGCATGTAGCCGCTCAACGTCCATACAGGAGAGGGCGCTGCGGTCAAATGCGCGTATAATCATGTTAAGCTTTGCATGCATTGGCTCAACGTTTATAGACGAGAGGGTGCTGCGGTCAAATGCTCAAATGCGTATATAACCACGTTCCATACCACACATTCTATTTCTGACATGGATGAAAACGAACAAAGGCTCGGCATGCTGCGGCTCAGCGTCTACGCAGGCAAGCACTTCTAGAGCTTCGCCCCAATCAACATCATTCACCACGTAGAGATGCAGTCAATTTTTTTTTTTTTCAAAATGTGATTAATTAAATGCTTATATTCACTTAACAAAGCAGCGTGTGCATACATCTGCCTAGTCGTCAGGTTAGCGAGCTCGAACCCGTACGCTGCATGATTATGTTTAGATTTTGGTCTATGGCTATACATGGTAGCCCAAGGCAAACATAAACAAGCCGTGGCAAAACTTCCGGTTGCCTGGAATACTTTTGACCAGCTTCTTGTGTATGTTTGAATGAACAAGAATGAGCAGCGCGTCTTGTAAACTTTTCTCGGCGAAAAATCAGAAAAGATGTGTCGAAAACCGGACGTAAGATTGATCAATCTGTGTTTCTGGATCATACGGCACCAAGAAAAAGCATCGCATCTCGTTTAGTTTGACTTCCGTGGTGAAAGTTAAGTGGCCCTGCCTGATGGCCCGGTGGAAACTTGTGTACACGTGAGACATTCAACAAAGTTAGATGCCGACAAATCAACGGAGGCATGTAATTGTTTCCTGGTTTTCGTGTGCAAGAGAGCGTGTGCGAGCACAATGTCACTTTGTCAACTGCGCGTCGTCGCCGTGACTGTTCAAGCTGGCCAAAAGACAAACTATGCCACGTCGGATGTAGTTGGAGAAGTGTGTGAAGGATTGTGCCACTCGTGCTTGACCCTGACTGGGAAAAAGCGAGCGGTGCTTTTTCGTCGATGCGCAGAGATATCGTGATTGTCACAATGTCGACCTGTCGCGGCGATCCCGTGTATGATATTCACGTGGATGCAGTTGCAGACGCGGACGTGGAAAGGCTAGTTTAGGATTCTAGAACCCAGGCGATAAGGCAAGAAAACAAGTTTCGCGTCCGACTTGTTACAATCACGCGATGCTCCTGGGGATTCCATGTGTTCAAACCCTTTGTTCAAAGCGCCAGCGGGTAGCTTTGCTCTGTTTGTGCAGACTCAGACGAGCGCTGTTGCATTTGACGACGTGGGTGAGTAATAAAATCAAAAGGGGGGTACCAGTGGTTTTGTGCTATGTTTCACGTCTTTAATTGTGTCACAAACAAACACTTTATTGCAAGCTAAAAAGAAAAAGAAAATCTGGCTCTCAGAACTTCAAAATTGTTGTGTCTGCAATTGATATAACCCGAACCTGGGGTTTGGTTCCATATAAGAAGGTCCCTCCCATTCTGAAGTCCTCTGCTGACACTTGCTCTCAAAATTTCTGTTTTTCTCCTTATCTTTTTTTTTAGTTCATTTATGGGTTTTTGATCGAGTTTGGTCAGGACTTTCACATAACCCGTCTGTTCACTAGTGCACGTGCACCCAAAAAATTTACATCGGCAAATAAATTTGCTCTAAAAAAAAATAAACACTTACTTTAATTATGAAATATTTTATGCAGTACTGTGCAATCCACTTATGATGATACTAGATATAACAATGTACAGCTTATAACGATCAGTTTATGGAGTTTCTTAACTAGAAACACTAATTTTCTAGTCCAGAAACAACAATAATCAGTTACAACGATTGAATTTGGGGGTTTTCTCATTGTTATAAGTAGATTGCATTGTACCAAGTTGGTCTGTTATGAAAACTTGGGTTCAGGCTTAAATAATAAGTTAGATTTTTCGACGTCCAAATGTTTGAAATTGACGAATATTAATTAATCTTTCAATCAATCTTTAATTGTATAAGAACTAAAGTGTTATCTGTTAGGCGATGATGTATACCTAATGCTGAGCGTGAAATCAACGTTTGTTTGACAGAAACTGCTTGCACTTGACGGCAGTCGCTCACAGCATCTTTTATTTTGTGAAGATCTGCCACGACAAAGTTGCCCAGTCAATTGCAAAGCATTCCAGCACCTCAAGTAGCCAGTGGATGTGCAAAACATAACAAAAGGCCAATTTAATTGTGGTACACACGAAACATAGCAATGATATTGCCCTTTAAAAGCATGCAAACGGTACCCAAACTGGCAAAGTTCCTTGCCCCTTGTCATGGTAGCCAGAAGTGACCGAAATCCCAAAACACCAAAAAATTGAAAAAAAGTGGGACAGGAGTTGGACGCATAATCCAATAGATCATTGAATGGAATATTTTAACCACTCAAGCCACATAGGGGATCCTCCTTTGAAATTAAAAGAGCAGAAGAGGTTTTGAAATACCTTTTATGAAATTTTCATGCGTAGGAAGCCAACATGTTTTTATTTACTCCAGGGCCCAGGACTGAACCATGGTAGTGCGGTGCTGCATCCCTTCCCGCAGAAGGAGAACCCGAAGAGGCATCCGGGTGCGGGAAACAGGGGTGTCATTTCACCAGTTTCCCTCAGACTCGAAGCTCTTTCAAGAGTGGATTAAGGCACTAAATTGTGAAGGATTTACACCTAATTTTGATTGCCACAGAGTCTGCTCGGATCACTTCAAGCAGACAGACTACATTGATGGCAAAAGACATAGGTGCCTAAAAAGAGCTGCAGTCCCGAGTATCTTCAACAGATCTTCAGAGGACTCGCCACCAAACGAAGCATCGTGCTCAGATCATCCAGAGCTTCGAAAGGAAAGAGGTAAGAGAAAAGATAGGGCCACGTGGGATGAGCCACACCACTAAGGCCGCTGCATGGCATGTACTGCAGCGACCATGTGCTACAATATCGGTGACCGTTCGGCGCTGCTCCTTGCCTTTTTCTGGCGGTCGGGTGCTTCGTGGCTCCGTCAGGGAATCTACAGGCTTTATAGAATAAAGGAGGCAAGAATAGTAGTAGAGATTTGTAATACAAGTGGTACGGGTTGGTGGCACAGAGCAGACTCCTCAACAGTTGCAATAAGTGCAAGCACTGCATATAAATTTATAGTACAGTGACTGGGGACAACTGACCCTTTTTAGCGGTTCAAGAAGGTTTCCAAAATGTTTCGAGAACATCCAAACAGATTGTAAAAGCTGTGGCACAGCTTTGTGGTAACACGCCGGCTTCACACGCAGTGGACTTGGGCTCGAATCCCGAAGGCGGCGGGCATTCTTGTTTAAGCATTTTGCAATATCGACCACGAGTGCACTACGCTATCGGCAACATATCTTTTTACAACTGCCGCTTCAAAAAAATATGTTGTCGATGGAACGTCGCAGGAACATAGGAAACCAAAATTTATTGCTAATTGAACTAAATGGCGCGAGAGCTCTCTTTGTCGTGCATATATCCATTTCTGGTCAAGGTGCACAATGTCGTGCGTATGGCATCACTCTGTTAATAAAGCAGACTCTCTCAATCGTCACACTGTGTGCTTGAAATTATTTGCTGCAAAACACTTCATATTCCCGGTGCAGAATACAAGTTATGGCGAAATTCTCGTTAGACAATGTCACAGTTCTTAAGTTATACAGTCTGTATTTCTCTGCATAGATGAGCCCAGAATCTGCTTTTATAACTTTTCTTATCAGGTCATGGCACAAACAAGTTGTAATAACTGTCCAATGGAGCATGCGAGCAGCTGTAGCAGCACAAACAATGGAACGTGCGGAGGATGACAGCTCGTGTACGAGAGGCTTCTGGTATTTCATTAGCCTCGCAACGTTTTGAATTGGCTTAGTTAATTGAGTTAATAAATATAAAGCAATTAATTCGACAAGTTAGAGCACGCTTGGGAGGGTACAAAAATAAATGAAAAGAACACTTTATAAACACACGTTCACGGAACGTGCGTTTATGAAAAGCTGTCCATGAGATGCAACAATACAAACCCCATATGGGATTTGGGCCTGGTTAATTATTAGTTTTGACAATCTTTTCCAGGTAATGGAGGAGCACCTCTGGAGGAGACAACCTGCCAATTGGTAACTGCCAGCGACATCCAATTTAGCTGTAGTTTCTGCAACTATGTCACTAGAGAACAGCGTGGAATTGTGAGCCACCTAATTGCTAATGCTAACGAGCAACACTTCAACATCCAGCAGTGCCCGAAGTCATTTTCTACAAAACGGGACTGCAGCATTTGCACTAAGGGTGACATCGGTGAGAGGGCTTTGGAGGACCAGTTGCATCCAGCAGCCATTTGCACTAAGGGCGACATCGGTGAGAGGGCTTTGGAGGACCAGTTGCATCCAGCAGCATCCTATGGAAATGGTGACCTGTGCCGTCATGAGCAAGCGGATAGTCGGGAAAAGTCTTATCTGTGCCAACCCTCTACCTTATCACGCGGTTCCCAAGCGCCCATGACACTTAAGGAGCGGTTTAAGAAACTGTTTCAGTGCCCCAGCTGTTCAAAGACCTTTCTTAGGAAGCAAACTCTTGCAGTTCACAATCGGACACACACAGGAGAGAGACCTTACAACTGCCCATACTGTCCCAATACCTTTGCTCACAGTTCAAATTTAAAAGTTCACGTGAGGACACACACTGGTGAAAAACCTTACAAGTGCGAGCAGTGTAATAAGACTTTTATTAGCAGTTCCAGTTTGACCCATCACGCTAGCATACACAAAATCAAAGCCTCTCAAGTGTCAGCTTTGTCCCAGGACGCTTGCTCTGAAAATTCACATGGGGATGCTCACTGGTAAAAAACCTTACAAATGGCAGCACTGTAATAAGACTTTTCTTTAAAGCACTATTTTGGTCAACCATGCTTGTGCACACAAAATTGAAAGGCCTTTCAAATGTCAGCTTTGTTCCAGGTCCTTTGCACTGAAGTGTAAGCTAAAACTTCACGCTAGAAAAGGAACATTGATCAACCATGCCAGCATACACATAGTCCAAAGGCCTTTCAAGTGTCTTATTTGTCCCAGGCCCTTTTCTGCTCAGCATTGTCTCATCAAGTGTCTGCAGTATCCCAAAGCTTTTTCTGTGCAATCTCGCCCGACCATCCACATGCAAAGACATAATGTTGAAACTCATGGGGCTTCTATGGAAGCAGAGGAAGGGGCTAGGCTTTTCAAATGTTTGCAGTGTCCCAAAGCTTTTTCTTTGCAATCTCACCCGACCATTCATGTGTTAGGGCATAACATTGAGTCTCATGGAGTTCATACGGAAACACACAAAGGTGGTAAGCCTTACAAATGTCCACAATGTCTCGGAGCTTTTGGTTGGAGTACCTCCTCGGCCATCCACATTCAAGTGCACACAGGTGAAGAGCCTTGCAAATGCTAGCAACGTCTCATGGTCTTTGCCCAGAGTATTTGTATTGGTACCCACATCCAAACACACACGCAGGTGAAAGGTCTTAAAGGTACCAACAGTGCCTCAGGACCTTTGCCAATTAAGCTAGTCTGATCAAGCACGTTGAAATCCATACCTGAAAGGCTTTACCTATCCGAGCACTGCCCCGGAACCTTAACTGTGCAAGGGCATAAGGCTGATGAGTCTCGTGGCTTGTATAAACTCTCAGGTAGGAAATACAAATGCCTGCCATGCTCCAAGGCCTTCATGTGCCGTTTCCGTCTAGTCAGTCATGCGAAGACCACCACATGTGTCACGAGTGCATGAGAATTTCTTTTGGCTTCTAAGGGGCGCAGGGTAGCAGAGGTTGGTTTGAGAAATCAAGATGTCTTGCGGAATGTCGACCTGAGGGTCAAAGTTTTTTTTGGTTGAAGGAGAAAGTCATTGAAGCTTGTGGGAATGCCGTGCTTGAACAGTCTGAAGACGTTCGACAAGCTGATGCTTTATGGTTTGTGACAAATGTGGGCGACATCCGTAATCCGGCTAGAATCAAAGATGAATTTAAGAAACTACGGGCTTCAAAAAAGAAACAGTCTTGAAAACAATGCAGTTGCACAACCATGGAGATTGACGCAGCATGGCCTATGTTGCTTTTTGCGCCATTAAACACCTAATAATCAATCAATCATCTACCACCATGGAGATCGGGACATTGCAATGAGTGGTGCTGGCTTTACGTGTGCCATCTGAGAGCAATATAGACGTGTCCAGAGCCACTAAGCAATGCTTCAGATTAGTGGCACCAACCATTATGTTGCTTAATTTCTTAATTATCTGAAATGGCAGGAAACACTTCTGTCTTTTGGAATGTTAGAAAAGCCTGTGACATAGCAAGACTACTCCATTGCCCTATAGTACTTCCGACGCCATATCTAAACCTTATGAAGTCACATTTTTAAATCAAGACTTTCGCCCGTTGTGCTCTGAAACATAGCTTACTTTGAGTCTCTAGGCACGTCTGCGGTCAACCCTCACGACGTCCCTTCAATTTGTACTGGAAAAATGCTTGGCCGGAGCCCAGAGGCATGCCTTGGTGCGAAGCCATCTGAATTGGACATGGAATCCACCGTTGAAAACACTGGAAGGAGGGTGGGGAATTCTACTGAAAGCAGTTTTTCATGACGAGATGCTGAAAATTGTTTTGCATGTGGTGTGAATGACTCCTGCGGACGTGATTAGAGGGATTTTATAAACGTCGAGGAAACGCTAGGGATGAGGATTGAGTATCGCTACTCGTGGTGAAGATGGGCAACTGGGGAATTTATCCTTTGCATGTTGTGACCAAGGGGTGGGAAGTGATTGATATCCTGTTTATTTTGAGGTGCCAAAAAAGAATGCTATACTTCGTTTCAGCTTCAGTCCAGACGCAGCCGATGCTACAAGCGCGAGCATGTTGCCCAGAACAGTGCTTGCACTGCACGAGCGCGCGTGCTTGGCAGGGATGCTGAAAGCCCGGAGCTCGCGCTTGTAGCTTTGGCTGCGTCTGGACAGAAGCTGAAACGAAGTATAGAAGAGAAGAGGTGATGGAGCATTTCAAAGAATTAGCACTCTGTCGTCAGATTTTGAGCGCTTGGAAAATTCTAGTACCAGCCTCGGGGGGTTTTTGCTTGCCGGGGTATGCTTCTGCGATTCCAATTGGTGCGACTGCGGTTGGTTGTGGTGATTTGGTCATTTTTATCGGTTTATTCGCTTTTTATGGTCAATGTTTGGGATTTCTAGCTGAGTGACCTTGTGGGAAGTGACCAGAGACGGTCGATCTGTGGCAGGTGTGTGTTTTGTTTTGCTCGCCAGGGCTGAGGATGTTTGCCAGTTCATGGCAATTGTGATTTCACATACACTTCGCGACACTGTTAGCACAGACACAGTGTTTGGCAGACGTCAAATTTGACCACCCAAGTTATTTTCTCAGATAAGCACATTCCACCAAGTTATTTATTTTGATTGTGATGGAGACAAAAAAAGCAGCGATTGCTTGTTTGTGTTAACACTGTCTTGCGTGTCAAATGGTTGGTTTCTTGTGGTGAGTGTCATTGCTGTCGAAAGGAGGTGGGGGGGGGGGAAAGGGGGAGGGGAGGGGAGAGAAAGCAAGGGAAGGAGAAGGAGAAGCATTTCACGGTGAGTTGGAGTCTTCTTTAGGAATGTGGAAGTTGGGAATAAATGTGGCAGTCAAGTTTGAAACCTTTGTATGTGTTCTTCCTTTATGTACTCCTCAGTCCCAAGTTTCTGAAATGGAAAGGAGACTGTTGAGCAGGAATGGGGAGTGTTTTTATATTGCTTCCTTGTATTGCATTATCTATGCAAAGCCATTAATAACCTTACGAGTGGCCTCGGTGATGAGGCATTAGCCGAATGGGGAACACTTTGTGTGTTGTTAGGCAAAATGAATTTTCCGTTGGGAGCTTGTGGCCTGCATCTTGGTTTTCGGTCTGACCAAATGGGTTGGTCAGGGTGCGTTATCACTGGGATGTGACTTAGTTTCTTTTTCTAGCGAAGGTGGTATCAGTTGGTTAGTTTCAACCTTCTGATGGTCTGATTTTCTGTTTTGGGTAGCATGGGAAATTCCCATTTTATGTGTGTACAACCATCTCGGTAACCACAGCGCAGGCTATCGCAAGGCAAGGTTTGCCCAAACAGGCAGCATGTTTGTTACCCGTCAGTCGACAGTCTGAACTTTCTGTTTTTATTTCGACTCGGGAGAATGTGCCAGATATTATCAGTGTAGAATTGCTTTGCACTCGTCTTTTTATGAATGCTGGTACCTGAAAAATTTGAGAAACGCATATTTCAAGACCAGTATTTGTGCCACAGGTAAAGTGTGCTCTAGTTCTTCTATTTCTGAATACCCTTTAACCCCATTTTTGCGAGGGCCTAATTTGTGATTTTTTGGCGATTTGCAAAATATGGACAAAATGGACCATGCGAGCATATATTACCCCTTGGCAATGAATACACAGCGTACCACTCTGAAGCACAGAATTTTGTGTCCACGAGATATTCCCAAAGTCTTCCCTTTGCAACGTTCCTGAAAAATTGAGCCCGCAAAAATTAATTCGCTTGGAGCATATCCCAATTTTAACCCAATGCAATGTATTTTAATATTTGCATTGCCAAACAACATTCTAGTTTTTCTGTTCAACTCTGCTGCTCACAGATAAAGTGTGACTACTACTGCACTAAATATAACCTTGCCTAGTGCAAACAGCAGCACCACTTAATTTGATAATGCGGGCAAAGTAATGTGCGTAGAGAAAGTATGTCGAGTAAGAGAGTGCAGGGAGATTCGAGGCAGGCGACTCTTGAAAGTAGAGAGGAAAACTTTCTAGTCTAACCAAAATGGAGGCTATGCTCAAAACAGGCAAAGTCTACACGTACTTGATGCACGAGGGGTTTGAATACAAGACGGGCAAACCACGCCCAAAAGCAGAGGCTAAGTGATGAAGCCGAGCTAGAGCTGCTAGATGAGCTGAGCGTGATTCTCCGATTATCCTGTGGGTGCTGCCATCTTTGTGCCTGGCCACATTTACGATTTGAAAATGCATTTTCTCGAGCTTTAGATGCAGTCCAGAGGTTCGGACGATATTGTTTTGCTCTGTCGCGAACCGTTCCAACATTTGTGAAGGACGGAAAAGTCGTTTGCTGCAATTTCAGACGAGGCTTTGGGCGACTGACGATAATCATTTTGAGCACCAAGATGGCCGAGATGTCATTACTTTGAAGTGCAGCTTTATTTAGTAGAGCAAACCATCTCTTTGGAAGACAGAATGAAAGGAGCTGAAAGGAAGATGTGGGAGGAAAAGAATACGTGGAAAACCGGTTCTTAGCATGTACAGGCACAAATGCAAGAACTGAGGAACAAAAAAGAAATGTTAATTTCTCTGTTCATCTGACTGCTCTTTAAGGCCACAATGGAAGCGCTGGGGATAGAAGCATATAGAGCTAAATTTGAGAGTGCAACAATGGAAGATGAGACTTCAAAGCAACCCATGGGCCGAGAGTACTTCCATTGGCTGACAAGGATGGAAGGTAGGAAGATAGAAAGCGTTGCAGCCGGAAAGAGAGGGTGGAAAAGGTGTGCGAAAGTGTGAACACACAAAAATTATTGCTATAGACAATTTTCGCAAAATTTTGTAGGTGTCCAAATGAAACGTGGGTCCACTAACCTTTCGTCAATCAATCTGTCGCGGTGCTACGTATTTGAAAAGTCTTACCATTTGCAATGCGTTTTGCGAAACACACTTTCAACGCTTCAAGCTTGTGCGACGACAGCCAAGTGTCGTACTGGAGGCGCTTTGGATCGTGCCACGCGCTTTGCGTAATGTTCTCGTCGCAAGTTTGCGCCGGGAGTAGTGACGAGGAACGAAGCCAATGGGTAAACTGTGCAGTTTTTTTACTCCACAACAGAGAAACAAACAGTCTTGACACCAGGGGGGGCCCCGTTCAGGAGAGCTCGCAGTACTCCGTCCAGCCATGGTTGGGGGGCCCCAGGGGCAGGACCCCCACAGACCGGTCTTTGGAGGCTGTGATCAGGTCTGAATTGGGGTCGTCAGGGAAGCGTTCATGCCCAAAGACAGATGTCGCCTACCCCAACTCAGTTTTTGACAATTTCACGAATGCTAGCTGCACGAGTAATTTGGCAGTGAAATATCTAGAATTTCCTTTGACTTTGCAATAATTTTCTTGTTTGGAGAACATTTTTTTTTCACCTCGAATTCCCCGACGTTTCCCAAACTTTTCCGACCTTGACTAAAAGTCATCCGTTCCATTCACAATATTCATTTCCCCAAGTACAAAAGTTTTATCATTTGGGAATTGTGTTTCCCTCAAATTAACCATTTGCCAAACTTTTCTAGCCTTGACTAAAAGAACTTAACCTCCCATTTCTGCAACTTTATAAGAATTTCTGCAGGAATTCTCATAATTTTTCATCTGGTGAATGTTTTCCCTCGAAACTTTTGACATTTCCCAAACTTCTCCAGCCTTGGAATAAAAATCATTTCTCATTTCCCATAGCTTCAAGATAGTCTTCATTTGGGGAATGTTTTTCCTCCTCAATTTCCCCAACATTTTCCCACTTTTCTAGCCTTCGCTATAAATCACTCCTCCCATTTCTCAGTTTCCCCACACTCTACGAGAATTTCTGAATTAGAGAATGTTTGTTTTTCCCTCGCATTCCCGGACATATCTAAAACTTGGCCAGCACTGACTAAACACTCCAACTCCATGTCTTCCCAGTTCACTGGTGTTCATTTGTAAACAATTGAATCAGCACCCACTATTGGCTGGCACCTGTGCTCTTCGTGTTTAATTCTTTCAATTTTGTTTTTCTGCCTCTTGTTCTCAAACACATGTTACAATACTTAGCTTCCCACAAAGAAACATTGGCTTTCCGGATCGCGGTACATTGCGGAAGAACAAATGGACACACTACTGGAAGTCTACAGGGCACAACACCAAGGCCTCTCCTGCAATCGACCCCCGCCAAACACGGTGAATTAACGATATAAAAATTAAATAGCGCAAAAGTTAGACAAAGGACAAGGGACAGAACATGTAGACAGGACAAGCGCTAATTCTAGTCTTTTCAACTTCTTCTTTCTTTAAGCTCTAGTCTTTGCCTTCATTTCAGCATATTCCCCGGAATTAATTTAGTTACGCTGTTCCCTTTCTTTTCTTTCCTTTTTGTTTATACCTTTCAATTTTTTCGTTTTATTATAAATCTTCTTTCTCCCTTTTTTTGGTGTGTTTATATGCTGCTTCCTTCTTTTCTATTAAAACACCAGTTGTGAGTTAGCGCCTGTCCTGTCTACATGTTCTGTCCCTTGTCCAACCTTTGCGCTATTTAATTTTTATATCATGCATATCCAACTAGCCCACCTCAATATCTTAGTGAATTAACGGACATCCTAGCAGACCATGTTGTAACAAACACCACAATGTCCCTCTATGCTATTTGATGATTACACGAAAAAAAGTCTTAGCCAAACATTAAGAAAAGTTTTTTTTCTTTTTTTTAACTTAAAGGGGCACTGACACCCCAAAGGTCGTATTTATTTTTATTGTCTAAAACGATGCAAGTTGCAGTCATAGACACGCAAAAAAAACCGCACCGCAAAAAAAAATTTTGCCGCGCGCGCGCGCCTTTTTATTTTTGGCGTTTGATTTTCCCGCCTCTCGCCTCCTCGCTTCTTTTGATCGGTGACGTCAAAAATCAGGAAATTTAGAAGCTTTGTAGGCGACATCTCTATAACATTTAATTACGGCAATCCTAAAACATGTTTTTTAACGCAATTGCGAACGCACTACGGCCCTTCTTTTTGAAATACCAAAAATCGGGAGTTCGTTGTGGTGCCGTCTCCTGGATTTGTATCCTCCAACGGAAAACAGGCGACACCGCTCAAAACCGGTCCTTAGCAACGCCGCCGCTCACTCCTTTCCTCCTCGCTTTGGGTCGCCATGGCAACAGCAGGGAGTGGTGAAAGAAAGGGGACTCTCAGGTCTCCGCAATTTTTGACGTCAAGGCACCGGCACCGATCGCGCGGGAACTTCGAATTCGGCATTTGGAAATTGTTTTTTTACTTTACAAATACTGAATTCCCGAATTTCAAATTTTGAGGGTAATGTCCCGGCATCATTTTCAATCGTTTCGGATAATAAAAAAAAATATGATTTTAATGTGTCAGTGCCCCTTTTAAACAAGCTCATAGTTTCGTACCTGTGATAATAAATGTGCCACCTACAGACATCTATGTTGTAAATTGTAATGCGATATACATAAAGAAAAGGGCTTCTGCGGCCCCTGATAATGGCCAAAAGCACCAACAGATCCGTGTTGTCCATTGTCAAATTGTGAGGCAGGGCAAAGGATACACTCGTCGTAGGGAGAGAGGTCCATGTCCTGGATGTCCCCCTTGTGCCAGTACACCTCGCCCAGATACTCGTGCCGGTCGGGGTAACGTCGGTACCTGGCACACAGATGGCACCAGTTACCACTCTGCCGTCCACCAGTACTTCACTAAATTTCTCGTAGAGTGACCATACGAGCAACTGGATTACTTCTTGACGCAGCGAAACAACCAGCAACTGTTAGTTTCTCGGGTTGTTGATCATTGAAAAGGGGACGTGCTGTTCACTTAATATACTAGCATAGAACTGATAACATCAAATAAGAAAGTCTCACCTAGGCAACAAACATCTGGGCAAAGCATCCTGTAACTACCACTGGAATTGTTTTTATAGTGGTGCTTATATATAAAAGATGAGGATAAGTTGTGTGAACCACAAGCAATGAAAATAGTTTGGAGAGATGCTTAATTTGGAGTAATTGCTCTATGGTACCTGGCGTCCAGTAGTACCCAAGAAGTTTAATAAAATATCACTTGATTTAGTGGTATTTGATTCTAATTAATCACTTTCCTGGTAGTCTGTATATGACTATTAAGGAAACTAGACAAGATGATGCACGTAAACAGATGTGACCTGCAATGAAGTACTATGTAAGCAGCCCAAGGACACTGGAAAACATTACAACAATAAGTATTACAGGACTGCAAATCAAACCAATTACCTATGAGGACAGGCCTTAATTATGAAATAGTATCTATTAACCTTTTCCATGGAAAATAATAAAATGCAGTACAATAAGCCTCGTAAAATCACCGATTTCAACTAACATTTTTAATTATGTCGCATGGCAAACTGAAGTTTAAAAGAAAGTCAGTTTTCCACAAGTTAGGCTTGTTCTACAAGAATACTTCAATATTTTTGCGATACACCTTCAGGCTGAAATTCGAGAGAGGCAATTGCAGCCCAAACCTTAAGACATAGCCTTTCAAGCACATAGAAACCATTAAATTTTGTTTCTATTATCCAGGTACAACACATAATTTTATACTTGAACATCGATACATGTTCAGCGAAAAGCAAGCGTGCCTCAATTAACCCCCTCCTCTGTTTCAGCAAGGTAGAAACCTTTCCTTTCATCAGGAATCAGCTCCAATGGGACCAATGGCATTCAGGCACAGTGGGGAGAGATAGAGAGCAAGAAATAATCAGAAAGCATGTGGGGTCATGCTGAAAATGATTGTGTTTGACTCTCTGAAAAAAAAACCTTTAAAGCCTAACAAGGGTCTACACTTTCACGAAAACCTAATCTGCGAGGACCCCAACAACAACAAAAAAATACTTTAGTCTAACAAGCCAAAAAAATTTTTTCGGAAAAAGATCGCTATGAAGAACTGAACACTCAAGGCCTTTCCCCCCCTCCCCTCTTTTGTTTGGTCAGGTGTGATGGTGATGCAGAACTCAAAATGTTTTTGGGATACGAAGGCTGTCTAAGCCACAGCTTTATCATTAAGAATATTAGAATCAACAAAGCACAATGTTATGGTCCCCAAAACAAAAAAAATAAAGTGACGTAGAAAAGAAAAAAAAGAAATTTGAAAACAGGGCTAGAGAAAGTAAAACCGCCGAAGTGACTTGCAGAGTTTGAAGTGCCAGGGAGACTTCTTAGTCGTGACCAAACCGGTGACCGACCAAATGCTCGGGCCTCACCTCCTGACCACCCCGCGGTCGCAGGCGGTGTACAGCAGTCCCCCGTTGGAGGTGTAGCGCATCTTCCAGACAGGGTGGTCTCCGTGCTCCCGCAGACGCTCTTGCACCCCGACGTCCGGCACGTAGCCGGACACCGCGTCGCCACCGACCAAGAGCACGCCTGCATGCGAGCGTTGCCCCGGAGACGTGAGTGCCGGCTCTCGTCTCCGACACTACGGTCCGTAGAACGCGTCTCCGACAGGCGCGTTTACCACGTCCTAAAGCGGTCCCTCGCTTTCTGCCCGACGTCATAAAAGTATCACGTCGTTGCCTGCCGCGATTGTGGCAGTGTTGCAGCGGCGGTGGATGCGTGGCAGACGCCCGTCCTCCTGCAGGTCGCTCTCCAGCATGACGGTAACGGGAGCTCCAACGGCCCAAGGTTGAAAAACCGGAGCGACAGTGACCCTTGCACTTTTTTCTGGAACCTCCGCGCCCGACGACAAGGACTGCGACGTCCGACGGCGCGACACTTTGGCACTGCTTTCGACGTGTGGGCACAACAGGACGCTAAACGCGCCGGTCGCAGATGCGTTCTGGGCACCATACCGGTACTGCAGATGCCAAGTTCAACTCGAACGAGAGCACCGAGGCTGGTTTGCATACTGGCAACTGCTCACAACTTCTTGTGATACGCCAGGATTGCGGTAGTTCAGTTCAAACTTGGATATTTCAAACTTCTGGTTAATTCAAACAAATTTCAAAATGTTGGTTCTCTCGTTATGTTTTTAACGTATTCGTAAGCTACTTAATTCGAATAGCATTTTCGTGTAATTCATGCTTTTTTGATCTCGCGGCCCTGTTGAGTTTGCTTCTTTCCGAGTACCGGTGCATTGCCGAGGTGCAGCACTTGCGGTGCTTGCTTCCGCGGTTGTTGCTTCTCTACAGTGCACCAGTGTTCGAAGGCAAGCACACTCAACAGGTCGAGACACAGGAGCTACAAAAACGGGCACCATGCGAAAATTTCCATAGCAACTTGCGCAGACACTGCGACATGGCACAGGTCCACATTACGGCGTCCGTTCAAGTTGCTATAAAAACTGACGCACGGTGCCCATTTTTGTCGCTCCTGTGCCCCCTGCTTAAAGTACACATTGGACAGCTCCTTGGCCCAATGAACAAACTTCATTTTGTTTTCCATTGTCACAGGCTGTCTAAACAGTCCATGATAAAACAACATTTTTGAGGGATAAACAAACTTATGCCATACATTTCACAAATGTTTCATGTGTGGCACACCTGCTCATGTTCAGTAGGCCTATGAGAGGAAACCATAAAAATGTCTGCACTGTATCTGTAGCCATTTATAACTTCATCACGCATCATATTTAGATGAATTTCAGATGATTCAAACGAAATCCGCGGCTTCTTGAAGTTTGAATTAATCAGTCTACTGTGTAGAACGTAGAGAGAATGTGGATAACACATTCGCATGCTGGCACCATTTATAAGGTGGCTCTGGAACCGGATTTCATTGGAGCGGAGTTACGAGGTTGTTGTATTCCGGGGCAGGAACCGAGGCAACACTCTGCTTGGGCAGTCCCTTGTATGCGTCGCAGCTGCTGCCCAAGGGGCACATTTCGGTTGGTGCCTACGTACACAAAGACCTCCTGTTAAAAGAGGAAACCCAGAGAAAAGACATCGGCACCCGTCGAGCTGGGTGATAAACTAGCATCAGGTGCTTCAGTTTCTCAGAACGCGAGGTCTGCTGCAACGCTCGCCATCCCACGTGCTGGATATTTGGGTGAATCTTTGGCCGGCCGTGTGAGGGGCCCACCACTCTGTGGGGTGAAGAGTGGTGCCCGTGTGCGCCTTTTTTTCAAAGCCTTCCTCGAGCTCGGAATCATTGTGTTCTGTCGAGACGCCTGGGCAGAGCGGAGATCGTATTCCCACTTCCAGTTTTGAAATGGCGAGGTGTCCCCGTTAAAGCCTCAAAGGGGAGAGTGAGCTCTCGTCGGATTCAATAGGAGTGCACTGCCGATTGTACTCAATGGGATCTGTGTTGAACCTCTATTAGGCAAGACAGTTGGTGGCTCGCTGGTTTTAACCCTGGGGCAACCGCGGCAGGGTTGAGTCGCGAGCGAGCTCGTGTGGAGCTAACTACCGTAACGTCCCGTAAGGGCACACTACCCGAGAGATTGCATATCCCAATTTTCTGGCTAAATATTATGATGCACCGTGCATTCACAAGGGCGCCCATAAAACATCTCTGCCATCGTTGCCGCGAGGTCGCTATGCAGTTGCCTCGCCTCAGACACGATCCCATGGTCGTGTCGCTGCCGCGCCGATCGGGATCTCGAATTCGGCTCCCGACGTGCCGCTTTCTCTCCTAGCCACTGGATGGTGCTGCAGGGGCCCCAGGGCGGGCGAGGAGAAACCTCCTCGCCCATCGATCGAGATATAGTCGGTGGACCAGGGGGCGAACAGCCTCTTAGGACTCCCGGCGGTACCGAGACCAGGCAAGTGTGTGCGACCAGATCTCGGGTAATCGCGAGACACGAAGCCTGAGGGCCCTCTTTGTGTTTAGCTTTGGCTTTAGGTATGAGTGTGAATATTGGTGTAATGTTGCGTGCCTTTGTAGTTTAGATTGAGTGTTGTGTTTTATAAACCAATAAAAGGGAGCAGGATCCCGCTCTTGAGAAAGAACCAGGCAGGACTCGGGTTGTTTGACGGACCACGTGGGATCTGGTGTATCGGCCGCGGTACGCGATTTCTTACAATATCTACAACATAAAAATTCCAGAACATTGCCCACCCCCTATTCTCGTCGGCCAACGACGGGGATCGTGTCAATCACGTGATCTGTGGCACTGGTACATGCGACAAGAAATTTTGTGGCGGGTTTGTGCGTTTTTGTCTGCGATCTGCGCATACGATATTGGATCCCATGACATGCGAGTTATCCGTGCATGTTTATTCCACTGTGAAGCGCAAATCTGCTGTGTCCACGATTTGCGGTATCGGTTCCCATGACTTGCGAGTTTGCGGCAGGTTTTCGTGTGTCCTTTGCACCGCGTAAGGCGAATCTGCATCCGCAATGTGCGATGTCTTTTACCATGACGCAGGAGTTCGTAGCGAATTCTTGCGCGATTGTCGGTATTTTCTGTGCGCGCGATTGCCGGTACCAGTTTCGTTTCACGTGGTTTGTAGCGGATGGCCCGGTGTTTCATCATTTCTTTTTATAATGTTTTGCTGTCACATCCTCCAAGATATCCCACCCCATGTTTGTCTTCTCTTCATTTTGGGTGGGCGGCCTCACAGGATTTTACAGTATGCCCGTAAAATCCTGAGATGCCCCACCCTCGAAAGATAGCTTACCCCCGTTTTTGGTTTGATTTGCTATATTTTTTTAAGCACCGAAAGATAGCCCACTCCTAATAATAATAGTGTTGGGATCAATGTTGGCCTCGGCGTAAATGCGGAGAGTTAGCTATGGCGGGATATAAGCAAACGTTGCTGACTGGGAAGTATAGTCATCTTTGGTTTGTTTCCCATAGCCACTATAACAAGCTCGGAAGGGACAGAACCTAAAAATGACAATTTTATAAAACTTTTTTGATTGTACACTGAAAGTTAGCCCACTCCATATTTTTACCCGATTTGTTCTTGATGTTAGGTGGGCTATCTCTCGGGATTTTACGGTAGGTTCGCACTACCGCGGTGCGCCCGCAAGACTTTTGCTGTACGCAGCATGTGACCGAAGTTTGAGAGCCGCCTGCAATGTATTGTTTGTAACTGAATTGCTTCACGACCAGTAAACGTCTTCGTTGCTAATAATTACGCCGAGTCTCCGATTTGCGTAAATCCCCGCCGTCGGTGAGGAACAAGACTTCGAGAGCGTCCTCTAGCAGCCCGCATCACCATCGAGAAAACACCACTTTGAACAGGGAAAAGGGCCTTCCTTGAAGTTTTTTTTTCAGTATTTTCAGTTTTCAAGGTGAAATTTACATACTATCTATAAAAAAATTGTTGTTTATAACATCATCAAAAGATGTTTCGAGCCAATAGTGATGAAATGATGTGCAAAAAAGGTAGAAAATACACAGAAATTGCGAGTGTCCCATGGCAACCCGATGGATAGGACCAGCGCATCTCTCATCATAAGAGATCACAAGAGGTTGCAACGCCGTGCGTCCTAAACAGGTCACAAGTATGTGGGCAAGCTTTACATTTAGCACTGAGACTGAACAAAGTGGCAACTTACGGCCTTAATCACAGCCGAGATGCCAGTAATTTGACGGAGGCACGTTACAAAGAAAGTGCCATGCCCCCAATGATGGTTTGATTGAGATTCTTCAAATTTGGTGGAGGGTTATTGCGGAAGACGTTTCGGTTGCTCGTCAAAAAAAATCTTCATATGGTCAAAATTAGTCTTCAGCCCTCTGCCAGAGCATGCCAGATGCCCTTCATTGACTTGGAATGTAAACTTTAAAACTCTGCATTTGTACACTGTTATGTCGGCGGTGGTCGAGCGGTGGGCAAGAGGTGGACGGCAGTCAGCAGCTGCTGTACGTCCGTTGCCCTCTCCACATTTTGAACACTCTTTCGAACCTTCTAACTCGAGGTACTCGTAACATTTTGAGTTTGGGTTTGAACCTACTACAGCAACTGAAGATGCTTGAGCTGGCTCAACTCAAGCATTCTGTATTGCACTGTGGCATAAAATACAGTCGAATCTCGGTAATTCAAACTCAAAGGGACCGAAAGTTTGTTTGAATTCCCTCTCATAGGGACGCATAGGATGGGACCTGCATGTTAGTTTGAATTATCCGCAAGTTTGAATTAAGAGAGTTTAAATTAACGAGATTCGAGTGTAGGGCATTTTAGACTGCTCGAGCTGCACCGAGTCAACTCGTGCTCGGCGCAACTGGAACGATAAAGAGTGGATTCCAAGAAGGCCTTCCCGGAACCGCAGAGGCCTCCGTCGTGCGGTGCCACTCAACTGTAAAAACCGTCCTCCGCTCCAGAGCCGTAGGCCTCGGGGGTGGCAGTCACCGAGTTGGCGCCGTGGCCCACCTCGAAGCCATGCAAGTACCGCCCGTCCAGCGTCGTCACCTGCAACGCAGAAGGTGTCTCGTCCTGGTGCGCTCTGGGAGACGCTTGACAAGCACTGCAAGTTTAAACACCTACCAAACACTGTGTTGCCACACTCGGTAAACGTTGCAATGCTTGTTGAACATTGTGCTTAGATGCTTGGCAAAATGTGCTAAAGAGGCTCCAAAGACACAATGTGCTTTTTTTTTATTGAACTGTGTGTGGATATTCAGAATTTCAAATAATTTACAAATAGTGTCTGCTATTCGATTCAATTTGCGGAAAGCTTTTACTAACCAAAGTATTCGCGTTTTTTAAGTAATTCAAAAGTTATGAATTCCTGGTTTTTTAGGTGTCAAACTTCACCACTTTTATGCACCAGTGCTCTTGCTTCAAGCTTCACCACTCAGCACCAGCGCATTGTGCTCGAAGGTTCACTGATTTGCACCGGCCTGCTTCAAGGAACGGCTGCCGTGCCCGGACATTTTGGTTAATTTGATTCGGTCAAAAATTTTTGCTCTTTATTATGATGATAATTTCTTATTTTGGTGATAATTCGATCATTAATTTTAATGGACAGTGCCAGAAAAAAACATCAACCTACATTCAAATAAGTAAGGTAGCCACGATTTGCCCACTATGCTACATTATGCTTTACTGCAAGTCATCATACCAGGGTCTTTTCTTAATGCAAGCATCTGAAATGCCTTCCAAGCAACATAAGCTTCTTTCCACAGGAATGTTTGCTGAAAAAAGAATTCCAGCTGTGGTCTTCTAATTAAGCATCCATGCTCAACTCGCCTCCACTAAAAAATATTGGTATTGAAACATAATTGATTTGATTCATGGTCAATCATTCATATCTGTATTTGATATGTAGTTCAAACTATGATATTTGCACATCTCTGCATAAAGGGACCATAGAATGAAGCCTGGCAGCAGAACACTGAATTACCTCCTTTTCTGGCGTGCGATTAGCTCGTTGTGACACACCGGGCCCACTGCGTGGGCCCAGCACGTCACAATGTGTTACAAGTCTTGGTGTGCCAAGCTTTTTTTTGCAAAACGTAGCGCAGTTAAGCAAACACTGATGACTTTTCCATGCTCTTCAAAAGTGAAGCTCTTTTCTGAGCACCAACAAGCCAAAGCCAGAAAATTGTTTCACGGTTCCTCTAGTGCACTGTTCATTTCTTCTCCCGAATTTCAGAGTTATTTCTTCATGCAATGTGGTACAGAGACACGAGAGTTGAAACCAAGATGCTTGCTTAGAATCCCAGGGAGAGAACTAGTCAAATTGAGTGCGCTCAACTACTGAAGAGAGACCCGTCACCATGGTGTAAAAAACATGTTTAGGCGATGCCACTCCATTTAACAAAACGGTCAGACAAGGATCGGCAAAAGCATCTTTGAAAGGAAGTAAGGGCTTTCTTTCAGAGATGCCACGCACGACAATGCTCACGCCATCAAAGTGCAAAAAGTGAACCAAGTTCACCCATTGAACGTCGCCACGAAATAACACAATACATTCTGCATTTACACTACCTTTTGCAACGATAGTGTGGGAAAGGGGTGCATTTTGGAGGCGCTTTCCATACAGCGACGTTTTCATTACTTTACAAGGACACATAGCAAAAGAGTTTGAAATGAAGAATGGGTGCCGAGGGCCGGTTTTTTCCAGCACTTAATGTTTTCATGAGCCTTCCGCAAAAAACTCTCTGTGGTCACTTTTTTAATTGTAACACACAGCCAAGCTATCAAACTCCTCGATTGTTCACTTCAGGCTGGTTCGTACACTTGTGCCCGAGAGCAATCGACTGCATTGAAACACTCTTGTAACCGCTTACGAGAGAGCATAGTTGCACACTGGGACCACCTAGCAGGTGTCCCTGGAACCCTTCTGACCTGCATATTTAGACTAGAAGTTTTTTCGATACTTGCGCAATCAAATCTATGCGCTATCCATGAAACGTGGTCGCTTATAACATTGTCAGATAGGTGGCGTCAGTGCGTTCTCTCGTCGTAAGCGGCGATGAGCAGACATGGTGCAGTCGATTAACGCGAATGTGTGAGCCAGCCTTTCCTCGTCGGCTGCGCTCCAAACAAATGTGGGGCCCCAAGCTCTGGAAAGGAATCGTAACGCCACTTGGCAGGCGCACCTTGGAGACACCGTCGACGGAGAGGGACAGCACGGTGCTCTGGTGGCTGCGCACGAAGGGCCAACTGCTGTGCAGGAACAACAGGTCACGGATGATGTTGTTGTGCAGCTGCACGGGGGGAAACAATGGGACGTTGTCCGTCACGAGGCTGGACAGGACACTTTCCATACATTCTTTAAAGACGTCTTCCGCACAAATAACGGGATGCCTTCTGTATGAATTACGGGACATGCTTCATACAAATAACAGTTTGTCCTCTATACAGAGCAGAGCAACAAAAAGCAGCGGATATGCTGACTTATTCTGACTTACCCAAGCACCAACATTGATTGATCGTGCCGCAGACGCTCTGCTTAGGTGCCGGCGACACGCTGCCATCTTTGGCTCGCGGCACATCGCAAATTTGAACCTTGTGCCACTGACGGTCTGCCGATGCTGCCAGAATGCGAAGCCATATTCCGGCATGCCCCTATTGGTCTGTAGCGGCTACTGGCAACACTGCCATTTTCAACTCAAGATCACCCTACCATGCACCACCGTGGCAGTGCTTGCAGACGAAACAGAATTCATACAATGTTTTAGAGCCAAGCAAACTCGAGGACCACCTCTGTGCCACTAGAAGCGAGCACCTCCAATGCTCTAATAACTCTGTTCTGCTTGTTTGATCTGATGGAAAGGTATTGGACAACTTTAGTGGTTTGCCAGAACCCCTAGTTTATAGAGTACATTCACTGCTCTTGTCAAGTCTGCTTTGCACCGGCACTCTCGTGTCAAGCATTACCACTTTGCACCAGCACATATGCAAAAAGCTTCACCACTTTGCAACAGCTTCTCAGAGGAGCAGGTTGACAGGAAGGGACACCCCAGTCAGCTTTATGAGCTCAGATATTGGCGGAGGTGGGCACTTGACATGCCCTTTGCTTATATTTCTGTATTTATTGACTATACAAATCGTTAGAAGATGGTGCCGCCTAACCATCGTGTCACCGCCGTGCCCACGCCTGAGCATGGCAAAACAAACTCCCACAGTAGACTAACAGCAGCCATGAAAGCCGGTGTCACGCCAGCCACTTACGTTGCTGAATAAAGTTATCTTCAAAGACAAAAACATAGCAACTGGCGATGAAGTACTGGATCCCAGACATGCGACCAGCCTGGACAACATGAACCCCAGATTCAAGCGGGCAAGTGATCCGAGTTGCTATCGGTGAAGCAAAACTATGCGAGCTTCCTGTGTGGGTTCTTAGACTATGGCGATGTTTGGCGAAGGGAGGCATACGATAACAAAGAGCCTTGACTATCTTACATAGAACGGATGGACGAGTTCTTCGATGCGAACAACGTCGAAGACGACGAAAAGGAAAAGTGGCTTTTCCTGTCGACCTTTGGAAAGAGCACGTATGCAATGCTTCGCAGTCTGCTAGCACCAGTTAAATCAAAAGAGCAGTACAAGGAGCTAATGGCTACCCTGATCGACCACTTCAGCCTGCCTCAATCACAAACTGCCGCGAGCTTTCGCTTCAACAAAAGGGTAGAGCTTGAGAACAAAAGCGTTGTTCGTCGCCGAACTTCGGCAGGTGGCGGAACCCTGCAGCTTCGGGACAGCTCTCAACCACATGCAGAGGGACTGCGTCATGCGTGGCATCCGGGAAAAAATTGAGCAAGAATGGATGTTGATGGAAAAAGAACTTAGCCTTAGAGAAGGCTGTTAAAATGTCGAGGAAAGCGGAGGCCGCTGAAAGGAATGTGACAGAGCTGCAGAAAGGCCATGCAGAGGCATCTACTTCTGGGGCTCGGAAGAAAGCCAGCAATCGTTTGAAGTGCCACGAGAGAAAGCACCCACAGGTACCCACTGAAGAAGAGGGCAAGATGCAAAGCCAGTAGTGAAAAAGAAGCTTGAACCCTGTATCCATTTTGGCTCTTAGGATTACGAGCCTCCAGAGTGCAAGCACCTTAACTCAATGTGCTACAAGTTTGAGAAAGTTGGACTCCTCGCAAGCTGCTGCTTGTCTAAGACAGACAAGCCTGAGAAGCAGTCCACAAAGGAAGGGAACAGCCAGGAACAAGTTGATAAACTAGTCAAGTACTCCCTGCACCTACTGCAAGCAACGTCAACGTGGAAGCAACACTGCGAGAAGGAGCAGAGAAGGAGGGTAGGAGGAGGAGGAGAGAGTACAGAGGGGGAGCAAGGACATACCCTCCCCTCCTCAAGATCTGCGCTCTAATTTCGCATTACAGAGATTTGTAAACGTCTTTCATTTTTTGATACTATCCTATTCCATCACCCTACCCTGCAGTTGCATTGGGTAGGGTGACTTATTTAGTCCCATTTATTGGTCATCCCTTCCAAGACTTCGTCCAGGAAAACAAGACTTCATCCAGGAAAACAAGACCAAGCACCTCCGGACTCCTCCTTTTCATCCAAAGTCGAATAACTTGGCAGGACGAGCCTGTCCTGCCAAGTTGGGACATCTTGCACACAAAGCCTGGGATGTTTTCCGTACAAATAATGGAACATTCTCTACACAAGCGCCACTCACATCGTAGACGAAGTCCAGGGGCAGAGGCATCCTCAGGTCAAACAGAGTCAGGCCCTGGAAAAATAAAAAGGTGTTCTCCTACGTCTTTCCCCATTTACCAGCACACACATATCTCCCTTAACACTACCCAGAAAAGTCAAGTTCTGTAGCGTTTGCTTGATTTCAATCGAATTTTCAGTGGAAGTTTACATGAGTGGCAAGACCATCCCTGCCAAATTTCTTAGTCCTATATCACTTCTGAAACTTGTTATGAATGTTACAATATAGAAGTCAGTGTATTCGCTTAGAAAAACTATTGTTTTAAAATAAAATAAAAAATTGTTATCTCTATGTGTAACATACCCTCCGTGTGACGCAACCAGAGCGCCGCCGCGTGGCCGTTACCGAAGGCAGGCATTGAGAACCCCGACGAAACGAAATCACGCCGCATACTTTGGAACACATAGAAGTCGGAGCGGTGCAGTTGCACTGGGTTGACAACATGAACTGCTGCGTCGTTAGGCACTGCAATAGTTATGCGTAGTGTCTTGTGGGGACAAAGTTTCATAGCTGCTCAACTTGCCAATGTTTTGTGGGACAGAGACAATGACGGACCCGTGCCGTACACGACACAAGATATTTGGTATCCAGATCATATCTGCCACTGTGTCGGCACAGCTGACATTCTACACGGCCGCTTTGCGCTCTGCATTTGTTTTTGTAACATTAACGCCTTCATAGGTTAGTGGCGATGGGCGATCTGAAATACCTTGCCACACTCGCAGGTATGCAGTGCCAATTTTATTGGAGAAATGCCCTCTAAAAATGTTTCGTCCCCATCGTACCTGTCCATTATATTTCCGAACCAGTACGGCATGCAGTCTGTACTTCTAAAGAAAGATTCGGATGCTACAAAAAGGGACAAATAGAAATCTAAGAAAAACTATAATGAAACTTGGAATCACGGGACAATCGACGTTTGAGTATGGCAGTTCATCTGATGTACTTTCTTTTTTATCAGCCTTCTTTAGGACGTGGAAATCGCCTTTCTTATCATACGGGGTTGCCGGTAGGCAGTAGGTGACTGCAAAACAAAATGCTGGAATCGTTTCTGATCAAATTAATGAAAAATAACTAGTAGATTTCAATAAAAAAATTTAAAAAGAAAAATATAATTTTGCAAAAGTTAAATAAACCAGTTTCAGATATATATATACTCAACGACGTAAAATGACGTCCTTTGAACTCGGGCAGAGTTTGCGAGCTGTTTGATGACAATGACTTTTTCTTCCTGCTGTGTGCATGCAGCAAAAGCAATAATAGTGCGGAAGGTGGCGACGTAATTTTATGAAAAATTAGAAACCTTGTAAAGGTTTCTTCTAAAAGAAGAAACCTTCTAAAAGAAAACGTATATATACTGACTGATGCAAGCCGCCACAGCTTTGTACGCGCAAAGGCGCCGCAGGTTGCTGAATGCGTCTCAGTGTCAAATGCCAGCTCCTCCACTAGTGGCACTATGCGTGTTTTTCAAAGCGCCCCCTATAGTTCCCGCACAAAGCATATAGTCATAGGAATACCCATAGCACATACCCAGCTCGTTATTTTTCTATATTGCATTATTTTTCATAAGCATAACTCAAGATTAAAAAAAATGTTTTACATGTCTGCGCTTTTTTTACAAATGTAGATGTTTTTAGCATAAAAGAATGTTAAAGTAGAAAAACTAATCAGCCAGGCATGTTCCTCACAAAATTCTGTCCCAGAAAACCACCTAAAAATAATTCTCTATTGTGCAATAGGAAAACAATAGTTTTCCTAAAGTGAAATTTATGCCGAAAAGTGGAACGGAGATAAATGCATTCAAAGCGCTCCAATTCCTATCTTTTCTTTAGCATCGAGGGACCGAAAATATGGCATTTCTTCAAAATGAACCTTTGTTTTTGCAGAAATTGTTTTTTTCTAGTTATAGTGTCCCCCCTTAAGCATGTAAAATGACTTCGACAATTCACTCCAAACTGTAGTCATAGAACACTAAAACCGATTGGCATTCAGTACCGTAGCACTGGTATCTCGTACATGAGTGTAACATCGTGTTCTACCTGACAATAAAAGTGTCGGGTAGAACGTGCGCACGATCAGGCCTCGTGCAACAAAGCCAGATCCTGTTCGCTCCGTCGAGCTGCGGTGACCTTGACTGAGCTCCCCAAACGTCCCTTTTGTGCCCATTGCGGGCCACAGTCGTACGAGCTCGTCCAAGGATACCTTCATCCTGTTTCCTTCGACTGGTGCAAAGAGAATACTCTCGAACCGCTAGAACGACGAGCGATGTTACTTGTTTAAAAGATTGAGGCTTGCAAAATTTCAGGGGTAATTCGAGCACAACGCGTGGCTTCTGAACTTTTTCCGACCGTGTGCAAACATGCTTCAGACGTGCCCGAAAAAGAAAGAGAATGTTGTGCTGGAGAACATTAACTCTGCTAAACAAGTGGAGGGGCCCCTCAGTTGGAGTGAGGTTTGTGAATTCGACGGTCAGACTGTCAGAAACATCACGAAAGAAGGAGTAAAAAAGAAAAAGGAGCGACAAACAAAACAAAAATTGAGGACTCATACTCCTGCCAAATGATAAAATTTGATGCCAGTTCCATCGACAGACGGTGTTCAATTGCTCAATCGGCGTGCACCACTCCTGGTGCAGCGCAGTGCGTGCACGATGCTCATAGTCAGGATCGTAAACCTATTTCGCCAATCAAGTAATGGCAGCCGATGGTACTGACATTAAGGGGAGACGCGGGTCTTAAAATGGTAAAAAAACGCGATATTTCATGTTTTTCAAAATTCACATATTTGGATTAATTGTAGTCTAAGGTACCTGCCTGCAAAGTTTCAATGTCGAATTCAATGTCTAAGCATGAAAAAAATGATATTTACAATGTCCCCGCAGAGCCCTAACACAGCGAGTTCAATGAAAACAAGTGGAACTTCGCGCCCCGCGCGTTTCGCGATCTCTCGTCGGATTGCGGCCATCTTGGTCTTGTTGGAAAGCCGCTTATTTTCCCCACGTCCCCATGCCATTCGTTATCGCGACAACATCGGGGAACGTCCGCATTCCGCGGGTTTCGAAGGCCCCAATTGCGATCGCTCATTGGCCGGCTAGCAAGGTGCCCGTACGTCAGAGCACGCGCGGCGCCTAGCGCCCCTGCTATTGGCCTAAACGCGCCCCTCCGCTCTTTTTCTCCTTTCCTCCTTTCCGTTCCCGCGCTGCCGAGAGGTGCGTCGTCTGCTCCTGGGCCCGTCTCCTTAGGCCTGTCTGCTCTGTTTCCTCTGTGGTAGAGCGCACGTTTTAGTTCCCGTTTGCGCGCTTACGTTGAATATTGTTAGTTCGTTTTCCTACGAAGTCGCGCGTGTTTTGTTTTGTTTCGCTTCGAGTTCTCGAGATGCCGGACGACGCTCGGTTGAAATCGAGCACGCGGCAAGCGTTCGGAAGGAAGAGGAAGCGACCGTGGAACAAACAAGAAGCCGAAGCTGTCTGCTGCAAGTGCGCCACCGCGATCGGTACCGCTGGATGCCTTGGATCTTCCGAAAACATCAACCGGAGACATCGCGACTCCATGCAGCAGCGGCAGTTTGTCGAGCTTTGCGAGCGCGGTTCGTGTCGGCACCGCATACTACTCCACGGCCGAGCAGGCGCAACGAGTCGCACGATCGGACGAATGCAAGCGTGCGCTATCGGAAAAGTCGGCGACCCAGCGCAAATTCGACCGCGGCGTCACCACAAGAGGCCAGACGCGCGACGCTGGGACACAGTTCATTGTAGTGGACATGAAAGCTCTCAAAGCATGGAGAAGGACAATCTGCGTTTGCGTAAGGCCAACGCTGCCCACCAGAGCAGCAGCAATGCAAAGCAGAGGTTCTCCAGGCAACACCAAACTGGAACAGCTGGGGACTACAGTCCTGGACAGCTGTGAGGGGGCTCCCCTTTCAAGTGCTACACGTAGAAAGGCCCTTTTCAGGGCCAAACAAAATCTGCTTTCGGAACGTGCAACCCTTGGTGCCTCCTCCCGTTGTCCCTTATAGAGTCTACTCATTCTTTTATAACTTTATCTTACATTGCAGACATTATTTCCCAGTTTTATATTATTTTTTAAAGGTTCTTGTGAACGGATTGCAGAATTTTTCATCTCAATTTGTTCAGATAGAACTGTGCTTCATAATGCTGAACATTTTTGCATGGGATCCCTTACTCAATTTTATGCAATGAGTGTCAAAACTTCAACTGCAATTTTCTCAGCTTCGCATTTTTCGTCTACATGCCTAGCCTTACGGTTGTTTTCATGAAATTATTCTTCAAGGATTTCTATAAACTTTATACCGTTGAATTCAGAAAGAAGTGAACTGCAGGGTGATGCTATTTTTGTATGACAGTATGGGCCCGAAATTTTATTATTAGTGATAATGTGACCTTGTTAGGCTTTGTAAATAGTGTACTTGACCTAATTAGACTAGTTTTATACAATGATCTATCTTTACAAAAATATAAATAGCATCATCTTGCATGACAGGTCTTTAGCTACAAATCCATATCACTTATGCAAAAAAATTCGTATTAGAAAGTTCCTTAATGAGTCGTAAGAAATGACCTAATTAGGCTTCATTATTTTCTTCGTAACTCAAAAAGTAATTGAGATATTGCAGAACTAATTGGATATTTGAAAAGAGGAAGCCAAAACACATATACACACTGATTTTCACTATAATCCATTAATAAACAAAAAAGTCGGTTTTAGAACCAGTGTCTTGCCTTAAATTTTACTGTGTGGCATGGGTATTATTTATGGCAGGGGGTCTCCAAACAATTTGGCTGAAGGGCCGGATTAGGAACCTGTCGCAGTTTCGAGGGCTGGAAAATAGATGAGATAGTATAAACAAGGAAATGCTAAATCAATAAGCCTAAATCAGCATTTGAGAACAAAAATTTTAAGTACATAAGCAACAAAAAAAAAGTAAGGTGGATGAGTACATATACTTCACTTTTTAAATCCAGTTCTTGATTCTAATTAGGACATAAAAAAATAATTGTGACCCAAGAAACTCACAAAACATAGATCAAAGTGCATAAAAACTTTGGCTTATTAGAGTGATGGATCCAATGATCATAACTATGCAATAGTTATGACAGAGGACACTAAACACGATATACATGAGAACAGATAGAAATTATAACACAGACATAAAACAGGAGACTATGAATAGTAATATTGCCGATTACAATGTACTGCAACAAATAATATGACGAGAGAACCCGCATTTTAATGCAGTTTCCCCTCATTCTTTCCGATTTATTCGTTTGCATTTTTATGCATGCCGCTGGCACCGTTTTTTCTTCGTTTAGTCTCCTAACCACGGCCTCTGTGGGCCGCGGTTAGGAGACACCCTGTTTATAGAAACTAATTCAAGGCACAGACAGCAGGGACGGAGAAAATTTAAGCCATCCAAGTAAAAAAGCAAGACAGAAAGTAAATGTGCTGGCAAGCTTTCAGGTCATGGTAGTACCTCTTGCATGCCAAAGGTTCTGGTGACGGGCAGGAAAATGGCAACATCTATGCTCATTCGAATAGCAATATCAAGAATGTTTAAAAGGAAATATAAACTTCTTGGAAGCCTCCCATGGCAGCTGACTGTTATGCAAGGAGACAGCTGAAGGAATCAATTAAGCCCCTCGGCTATTTTGGGTCCTCTGTATGTCGGCTGCCAAGAGTTTTTGCTCTATCAAAGTTCTTCTTTCCAGCTTCAATCAACCTCATGTTTTGTTATAGAATAACCAATTTATATCTATCAAAAAAGGTGGGGAAAAAAAACTAAGGCATTCCTCCGGTCTACCACTCAGGCGTCCCATCTGCAGAATGCATCGAGGTCGTGTGACGTGATGTCATGCCCCGACTTGACACCTAAAGTCACTAGATCTAATATCTTTATTGACATTGTCACGTGACACGACATCACACTGCAAGTCACGAGACACAGTGTTGTCATCCAGCTGTGGGACCACATGCCCACTGCAGCGTCCCGTTACGTTTAGCAGGACGTTAGCCCGCTGAGTTCGGCTGATGATGGTTCCTTCCATTGGTATGATATGGCTACGATAACGAGACATCTACGCAAACAGCGACCTCACATCTATTAAGATGGATTCTACATAAGAAAAATGTTTTCACCGAATATTGACCAGTACTCTGCCCCATTCCAAGTCACAGCAAACCGGCGAACATGTAGAGTGAACAGTCGGGCTGTCTGTTGATATTTATGAGATGCATCTGTTAAGTGGGAACACTACGTGAAAATTGTGATTTCTTTTTAAAAGTCCCATTTCAAACAAGTGTTCTTATCAGCTTTCAAGTATCCTAATGAGCATGGTCAGAAACTTTCACTCCTGCAACTAAAGTGTTTTTTATGGAATAAATTATTTTTGACATGCTGGCACCATCTAAACTGCAGCATTCTGGACTTTCGCACATATTTATCTCAGTTTCACTCTTTGGCATAAAATCTTGGTTCAAGAGAACTATTTTACAAAGAATTGATGTGTACAGCCAGTTTCTGAAGCTCCCATAGTGAAATTTTGTAAGGAGCGTGACCGTGAGCTTAAGTTCTGCATTTTCATATATTTTTGTTATGAAAAGTTGCAGTATTTTCAAGCAAAAAGATAAACTTTTTCTTCTCATTTTTATTTTCTATTAAAAATTACATAATTTTTCTAATTTATTTCAACAGTTGCACGACATGAGTGTTATGCTGTTTATTTCACCAAAAGAACTCGCCATTATCATTACCTTTTTGAAATGTTAGTTTTTCTCAGGGGGTGCAGTGTTTACTTCATACGCTTTTATGTAACTCTTTGAAGGATAAATTTGTAAACTGAAAGATCTGCATGTCATCCTCTTTCCCCCCTATGAATGTGCCCTACAAATTTCATACAAATAAGACGAAAGGTTAAAAGGTTCACCTCCTTAACCAATAGGAACAATAATCTGATTGTTTGCTAGAAAGATAGAGCCAACTCAAAGGAAGACTTCAACAATGGCAACATTTAGACTCATTCCCTCTGCACTGTCATTTTCTTAAAAAAAAGTTTGTCCAGCATGGTCGCTGCACTTCCAATTTTTGGGGTGCCCAGATACAACGGAGGTGTATGGCAAACAAACTGTAATCATGCGACTACCCACCTTCCCGTTAACACAGCTGCAGACGGCCATGTTGGGGCAGATGGGATCTGCTGCCAGGCTCGCTCGATCCCGTCCGTTGAAGGCACCTTGGAGCAAGAGCATGCACCTTGTGACACCTTTGTACCTTCCTCATGCCTCTCTATGTCGCTGATAACTTCAACTAGCAAACATTAAGTTCCAAAACTTAGCCATCTGGTTGGGACTGTGGGCACTACATTTTGGCAGGGATTGAGCACTCGGCAATGCATAGTTTATTGTTGCGGTGTGGAAAACACAATTCTTTCTTTTTCCAACCACAGAATAGTTTATGAATATTACAGCAACAAAGAGGATTCCTGTGACAACCCCCTAAAAGGGACCATTTTTGCCTGAATATTGGCTTAGAAATTGGTCAACAATTAATTAAGGGCTAAGCAATTGTTCAGCAATTAATTGGTAAGATAATCGCTGACCAGTCAACATAATTAGGCAGATTAGGATAATCTATATGTTAATCAATTAATTTCACAGCCCTAGTACTTACCCTAGCCCTTTCCTGACTGCGCCCATAGGCCATCGATCATCAGCGATCTATGGTTTCCAAGCGCCGTCAAGAAATTAAATTTAGGATGGAGAATTATGTTCCACAATCTCGTAGATAACCGCAGAAGTCTAGTTTCAGTTCCAAGGTAGGTTTAAGCTTCATCACAAGCTGGTGGGCTGTCAAAAAGAGTCCTGGGAACGGTGGTTGCACTTGTCTAACATGGCTAGCTGCTTGCATCAGTCTTCGTAACAAAGACAACATTATTTACATAATTCAACTGTATTGTGGAATACTTTTTAGACCTCAAGAGCTACAGGGACACTTTAAAAGATGTTATAACCATTGCTCAACAGATGGTTGTCGGTAAGCATCACTGTAATTTCCAATGCTGTCCTGAGCCAGCGTGCACGTTTTATGTTCCCAACAAGGCGGACGAAAATGCTAAATATTAAGGAACTGGAATCAAGGCTATGACAAAACCAATGCAGAACACAAAAAGAGCTATCTGCTGGGGATGTGGGCTGTATTATCTCTGCTACAACAATACAACCGTTTCCTCATTGAAAAGCACACGTGTTACGAAGGCTAACTCTCCAACGAACCAACAATAGACGTCAGTTAGGGTACACCCACTTTCAGAAGTAATAGGTGTAGGTGTGGGGCACATTTTATATAGTCTGAATTTTTATTTTTTTGTTGTTTAATTTGACACAGCTGTAAAAGTTTGAGCCTTTATATGCCTTCCACGCATATTTTGTATTGTCAAGAAATAAATTTTTTAAATACTTTTTTCAGATTATACTAACCTGTTTCTTTTAAAAGAACAACTAATTGGCCATATTTTTAAGTGTCATATACCTCCATACGCAAATTAGGAGACAAAAGCGTTTGCACGGATCATTTGAATATTACTGCTGTTCCAAATGGTTTCAGACAAGTCTGGTTAAAAAGAAATTGCAACTCCTTGCGGGCCAAAATGAATGCAGACTAACATCATATACATAAATTCAATGATAATGGCATGACCCTTTCCTGAATGACACTGATTTTAGTACACTGTGTAACACTTAAAGCAAACAAGCGACTGCTGTTTCTTGTTTCTCTCTTAGAATCAAAAGGCTGCCTTCAAAGTAACTAATGCAGCTTGGAGAGCTCAATTGGGGTACAAGCCTAAGCAGTAAAAATTGGTCTTCACCAAGCCCCTTTCAAAGTAAAATTTAAAAATGGCACCAATGTTGTGTTCGTAGTAGCAGTGTCCAGCAGACACTCTAGAACACTAAAGCTAATGTGGAGTGCAAGTTTGTCTGCTTCTTTTGCAGGGGTTGTGGTGACGTCAAAACGCCGAACTCTGATTAGAGGATAGTGGGCACACATCGAGGCAACTTGCTTTGAGGTCTACCCACTACCCTTCCAATCTGAGCCAATCAGGGCTCTGCGTTTTGACGTCACCACAACCCCTGCGAAAAAGAGCAGACAAACTTGCGCTCCGCATAACAGGCGGGAGTTCAAATGACACTGTGAGATTGGAATGATCGGTAAATCAGTTTGTGATCCCATGAGTGCCATGGATGGTTTGCCATTGCACAAATGACATTTGACTAGATGTCATTAGCATTTCTGTCCGATTATGGAGCTCTAGCCCATCTTCTGTAGACACATGTCAATGGGTGCCGTTTAGTTTCCTGTAGTACCATGTTTTCACCAAAATGTTGAGGGTTAATTGAATGTTGTTCAGTCGAAAGCACTTTTAGGCAAGGGGTGGTGCTTAGAAGAGTCCCAGAATCCTTGAGCTTAGATACTGATAATGAGGGCAGAAAAGTGTGATGCAGATTGTGCTAGGGTCCTAGTCAGGCAACCTCTGTCGCTGCTTCTTGCCTTGGCTCCGAGGCAATTTCATATTGTCCGAAATTCACGATAAACAAATGAACCAGCCGAAAGCTGCATTCGCTAGTCTCACCGGAAGATTCAGCGAGGCTCGCACCCCGAAGGTGGCACGTCGTCAAGAAATCAATTTATTTACAAGTTTCTTTGACCCTGGCTCCCTTTCAACCACAAAACCCGATGACAAAAAAAAAATTCCCAGTTTCACCTGTTTACGCCATTAGAAGAAAGGTTGGCAAAACACTCACAGTTGTCATATGTCATAACCTGCTCCCCACGCTCCACATCGATGACCGCCAGTCTCCGCGCCGTCGTGGCTGCCAGGATCTGAAGAAGGAACGGACGAATGGTCACTTCCTTTTACACGAGAAAGCAGCTGGTGCTACCCGTACTCCATTTCAGACTGAGTCCGACCACGACTGGCGCTACGACCTGATGGACCCTATCAAGCGACGGCGAAAGCGCATCGTCGCAGCGTTCGTCGTCTTTGTGCACAAACTGTCGCGGGCTAAACTGATCGGGCAAGGGGAACATGGTGCAGTGATTGGGCACTTTTCTTTCTGCACATCATTGGTTCAGCTAGTGACAGCAAACGCACAAAGACGATGAACCTTTGGTACTAGTTGAATGGTTCCGTCAGATCGGATTGGATTGACTGCGGTGGAATCTAAAGCGAAAGGGGGTACGTAGCCGAACCTCCGGAAACAATGTGGGCTGAGCAAAGACGACAGACTTTCGCCCTTTCGGTCACGCCGACTACGGAACTCACCCGAGAACCGTCGCTGGTGAAGCGGACTGCGTTGATGTTGCGTGCAAGGCCCATGGCAGTGATCTGCAAGGTGGCACAAAGCCCCACACAAAGGCTCACGTAAGTGCATAAAACCACGAGAAAAAAAAGCAGACTTAATTACACTCATGTTTCGTTAATATGGATCTTTTTAATATGGATACCCTCCTATATGGACACCATTTTCGGAGAGAAACTGGGAAAATACATGCTTTTTTATCTCGTCAATATGGACAACTCACATTATGGACGATTTTTTGGGGGAACAGAGGCGTCCATAGTAACGAGACATCACTGTATAGTTTAACACTTCCCTAAACCGCTCATTCTATATTGTGCTCGTATAGGAACAGCTAGAGCCACTGCGTAAGCTAAGCTTCGAAGCAATGACTGTTCAGCCATATTGTTGCATGAAACCCTTACTGCCGGTTACTCAAAGCATTATCTGTAATGGCAGGAAACGATTTACTATCCCTCATAAATATTGAATGTTGGAGCTTCCTGACAGTGCACTTAGAGTTCAGGAAGGCGCATTTTCAAATTGCAACTGTCGCCAATCGCGCACTAGCCAACAAAAGGGCAGTGACCACACCACTGTCGCGCAATCTAGCATCTGGAGTAGCCATGCAGCTTGCACGGCAGGTAGCGAGCAGCAATAGAGCAGCAATAGATAATAATCTGAACTCGTAAAATACAATAAGGGTGTCTCTAACTTTTTTTTTTCCCAGAACAATTTGAAACATTGTTGGACATAAAGTGGCAATGAAAGAAAGGCCGGAGGAGTTCGAAAGAGAAAATCAGACAGTTTAATGTTTAGACGGTGCGAGGTCGTTTACGAGGTATTTCAGCCTGTTCAGCACAACTTTTAACCTGAGGCCTTATAACTTGCATAACGCAGCAACAGTTACACTAATGAGCGCTAGTACTCGACTGCCCATATCAAAACAATACTGCCTAGCTACGTTGTGCTTGACCACTAGTCACTGGCTCTCTGCAATATTGACCGCTGGGATGTCCTTTTAAATTTTGAATAGTCTGCGGTTTAAAAATTATTCTTAAAAAAATGTATGTTTTTTTTTTTTAATACATACTACATAGGCATTGATGACATATGCCCCTGAACATCTTCTCTCAAGCTCTTATGAAATGCAAATGGCAGAGTGTGTGGCTCTCATCTCATGTTGCATCATCCAGAGGCTCCTGGAAGATCATAAAAATGATCAGCAGAGATGGTGGCTGTGAATGTGGGTCCTGCTGACACCTCATAGGTAGCAAGGTCATGGTACTGAGTCACTTCCACAGCCAAAGAGCAGGCTGCACAAAGTACAAATTAGACACCAGCGCTGCGTGTCAGCGTTCCGCTGGAACTAGTGGCCCGACCGATCCAGCAGATCGAGGCCAAACACAGACTCGGCACTCATATCCAATATGTTGCCCACGCCGGTTACTTGGAGACGACATAGGAATTCATGCTATCAAGGAGCTACTGGTAAAACCTGCCCTGCCACCCCCCCCCCCCCCCCCCCCCCCGGCTCCAACTCTACTGCACACTTTTATCAGCTTCCAGGGACCTCAAAATGGTGCTGCACGTATCGGAAGCCACATGCCCTCTCGTTAGAATCCTCTTAGGCACCAATCTTCGTCGACCAACAAGTTCGGTGAACTGAAAGTCAACTGATGGCCTCTTGTATGGCGGTGATTGAGGCTATCACACTGCACGCCTTTGAAACCTCATGTCTCTCAAGCCAAGAGTATTTTTATACGAAACTGACAAATGTTTACCTGATAGCACATGAGCAGCTCCATCTGCTGTGCCGAGTAGAGGTTGACCTTGCCATCGTACGCGCCCGAACAAAACAGGTACCTGTCCTGTTGGCATTCAATGAATGGTGTTCTGTTAGTGAGTGACTTATTCTAACTTGGGACATCTCACTCTGCAAGATGTAGATTCACACAGCACCAACAATTTTCGTGGCACAAAATAAACACCAGCGAGTAGTTTTCCCGGCAGCATACACTCGTAGGCAACTTATGGAGCGCGACGAGTTCTTACGAAGCTGTCACAATAGTGGACAATGAACATTCATACTGGCAATAGAGGCTAATCATCCGCCTTCACACAAAGTGGTGACCACATGGTGCGCGTTAAAGAAGATCTCGCGCAATCTAGGAAGTATGATAACACCTCGAAACGACAGTGAACTGGGAGTGATAGCAGGGCGCTTGTCACATTTTTATCTGGCCCCTGAGTCACTCCTATACTAACCAGACAGATTGCAAAACGGATTACATACCCGAGCTTAGAAATAAGCTGTTCGTACGGTTCCAAAAAGCGGGCCTTTACCCGCTTGCTAAAGCGATGAGCGCTGGACTATACTTCTGTTGCGGTTACCAGAAGGACATTAAACCGAGCGTGCGCAACCTGCAACACTCATATCAAATTTACGAGTTGCGCGTGTACATCAGCGCAGTGGTGGTGGAGGGAAGATATCAAGCAGTCAATTTCAGAAATAGACTGCCTACATCTTAAGAATAGAAAAGGGCATTTGGCCAGTACACCTGAGCCGTCTGAGCGTCGATGCCCTCTGTTCGCGTATTCAGTGGCTGGCTACGTCGTCGCGCGCTGGGCGAATTGCGATCACGACGGGACTGAAAATGCACTTACCCTGGGGCTGAACGCGACCCCACGCACGCTACCTTGGTGGTACCGCAGGAAAACTGGAGTTCCTTCCCGCTGCATTGCCCCTGGTCGACCGAAACACTTTCACTACGTGACCAAACTGAGTCCGCATCTCCCCGACCGTGCGCCCAGAGTCATGTCGCCGATCGCACGAGCACGGGCGCCTCGAAGACCACGCTCGGTCGGGTCGTCGCAACCACACAGCTGACCCGTTCACAAAGTTACGCGCACGGACACTGCGAGGCCATACGGAGGATGGCATCACGCGAAGACGAACGGCCGAGATGTTGTCGAACGCCTTGCGCTGCCAGCGCGTTCATCCTGATCGCGTGGTTCGCTCAGCGTCGCTGCTGGTGCTGTCGTCGATGGCGAGATGACGGGGGGTCGTCAGTCAGACGAGAACATTTTTGCCTTTCGTCACTCGGGGATCAGGAAGAACGCAGCATTGCTGTGGGATCGAAGAGGACGCGAATCGGACATCCGACGTGAAACACTGACGACGGACATTTTGATGCGGCCATGGCGATGGGACGGCCGTCGACGGTGGGAGTTTCGTTCGCTGACGCGGATAGTTTCGGTTTCGATGCTGCAGCGTTGGGCATGTGCACGTTCGGGTGGTTTATATTTACGGTCGGTGATAGGAAATAAACTTTCGCGCAACGCAATGTACAGAAACAAATAGGACATATTGAAAATTATATTATTTGGAGGCAAACGAGAAAGTGGTATCCGTAAAACGCGCGATGTTGGCTTGGAACTACAGTGCTTTCTGTGAAGTATCTTATGAATAATTAGTTCCCAACCAGTCACCCACACTCAATCACTCACATGTGATGCCGCCATCGTGTCCAATCTGTGCACTACGCACTACGCATTCACATTGAACAAAAAACGCGCGTTGCGGTCCATGTCGGAAAAAGACGAAGCAGTCACACAGGGCCCCCTTGGGGCCACCCGACGTCGACGTCTTCTCGGCGATCCTCGCGTTTGTCGAGAGAACACAACATTTTTTTTTTATTCGTCTGCTTTGTACATTTGGAGTTGCCTTGCCTTCCTCTCCACTGAATGGATGTGCAACGGCGATGATTATACAGGGTGCGGCCGTAAAAACTTTCAGATTTGGCACGCCTAGCAAAAATCGAATTTCGAACGTACATATCTGAAATTGGGCACGCGAACGTCATTTATTCCAAAGTTTTTTGCCTATTTTTTTCAGACGTCAACTCAGGAGTAGCAAATTATTAGAAAGATAACAAAAATGGCAGATACCCGCCCGTTCGCAGTCTGCTATCTGGTTCGCAACGCCGCTCCCAGGTGGCGCACTGAACGCAAAAACGCGGGAAACGCCGCACGAAAGGCTGGTGTCGGGCGAGATAAGCGCGATAAAAAGTGATTTGAACGAAATATATGAACGATTGTTGAAATTACCTGTTTTAAGTTAAGTTTTGACAGATCGTCATGCAAGCAAGAAGCAACACTACTCTTTTCTCCTAAACGCATCTCGATACAAGTCATCTGGTTCCCTCTCGCGTTCAATGTCACCGAAGTCCTCTTGGAAGGCAAAACAAGCACATAGGTGGTCACACGCGGGCGTACCGGGCCAGCTGAGTTTTGTCGACCACGCGCGATGGATCGTGCGTGGCCGGCGTGACGTCCGTGGTTTTACAGCGAAGCTGTTATGCGCGAGGATCTGGAGAAAAAGGCGTCCGCGGATGTTGACAGAAGACACCCCATTGGTCTTGGCAAGTACGAATAAATAAAAATAAAAGAAGGGGCAACCTATGTGAGTCAGCCTTCCTTGGCATTATTAGGCATCGTCCTCGAGGTCGTCCGAGAAGTCTTCCCCGAGGTCGTCCTTGAGGTCGTCCTCTAGGCATCGTCTAGACGTCGTAAAAATAACAGCTTCGCTGGTAAAGGGGCTCTACAATTTTTATTTTTTTTTTTATGATTTACGAAACACGCATTTCACTTTTCAGTTATGGCGAAAGCAAGCGGTGCCCCAATGAAAGAGAAAACGTGCTCAACAGCGATCATGTCATCGAGTGCAGCATTGCCCCAGAGCCGGCGATCAAAGCTCTCTGCAGACAGGGAACCGATGAAAACTGGAGGACCGTTCACACTCTTGCGATCTCTTAAAACAGGGTTCCTTGAAACATCTGGTGGTTAAACGTTTTTTTATTAATGAAAGGGTTATGTCAAGGCTTCTTGATAAATATCATCTAGCCTTCTTGAAACATCTAATAGCGAGTTCGTTTCACGGCACTCGTGCCCACGCGTGCCCACTCGCAGCGTGGAATGGGTTCGTTTCGGCCGGCACTCCACGAGTGGTTGCACTCTCCGAGTTCGTTTCAGCGCTGACACCCCACGCGTGCATGCACTCGCTGCACCGAGAAAATCGGGAGTGCGCCAAAATGCAATCCCGTCATGCCTCGCTCCGGTGGGGCCGGCGAGGAGCGGGAGCAGACGACGAGGGTTCGTCTGCTACGATGTGTCGCGGAACCGAACGAAAAAAAAAAGAGATTTTCTGATAGAAATCGCGTCCCGCGGGCAACGAAATCAAACGCGAGCTTGAATTGTGAGCGTCTGCTATTTCAGGAAGGAAGCAATTGACAACCCGTGATTTATTTGCAGGTTTTAAATCGCTCTGCTGCCGCACAAACGCTGAAATATACCAGTGTGTAAAGAAATGCTCAGAACAAACGCAACAGCGGCCCCCGAGATGTCTATCACCATCCGTGTGCGGGTGAAAAATTTAAAATTTGTCGACAAAACTCCCCCAGCAGAAACCTCTGACTGCCCAATAAGCATCAGAGAAAGCTAAAGATGGAGACTTTACCTGAGGATTGGGCAACATCATCATGTTTAACGTTTACCTACGTCAGCTAACTTGCCCCGTCGTATTTTGTTCGAGAAAGCTCTCGTTCTCGACGCCCTTACCAAGGCTAATATCTAATCCTGACGATCCAAATCGAAAGTCCCAGTTTTGCTGGATATTCCAACAGGCTAGTTTTAAGCCGTACCCTTTCAGTGGTTCACGAATAATACCATGCTCAAACGGATCAAGCTTCTGCTCGGACAGCATCATCAGTTTTCTTCAGTGTAAACGGTTATAAGAATTGAAAGATAGCAACCAGCTGCTTTGTAGACAGCTGGTTGCGGAAATTTACGCCGTCTGTAATTATCTCTACGGCAGCCTAGCTGCTTGAAGTCATCGCAACTATAAACTACAGGTTGCAGAGACCAACGTTTGTAGATAAACGTTGGTAGCGACTGCATTCTCGCATTCCCACGCATCACTCCGAACAGAAAAGCTCTAGTTTTGGTTTGAAGTCGGTACCTCTTCTACAACATAGATGGCGGCAGCGTCAGTCTTCTGCACTCGGTGCATTTGGCGAGTTCGTTTGAGTCCAGTTTTCCGTGCAACACTCTGTGAGTGCGATGCATTCTGGGAGAGAACTTGAACGGTGCCAGTGCGTGTGAAACGAACTCGCTATTACAACGAGAGGACACACTGGCGCCACCTATTGGATAGCAGTGTAAACTTGGTGGTCCTGCATATTTTCTATTTCTCTCGCGCATTATCCTTTCTTTCTTGGCTCGGAAAACTTCTGTCAACGTTATAAACGAGCCTTTCTTATAGGTATTACGCACATTTGACTTCGGAAATCCCGCAAAACCTTCGCTCTTGTGAAATGCAGTTCCAGGGTCACCGCATAGATGGCACCAGAGTGCCAGTGTGTCCTCTCGTCCTAAGAAATTTTAAGAGGTTTAACAAGTTTCGTCTCTCTCGGTCGTACTTGGTTGCAAGAGTGTGAAAGGGTGTTTATACCCCATTCAAAAGCATCTGCGGTAAGCATCAAGTGCGCACCATATTGCTACAAACAAATATGCAGCGAGTGCGGACACGATGCAGCGATTCCGAAATGCAGAACAGAACTCGTAGAGGCTGAGACAGGGCTTAGCAGTGGGAAAACGGGTGTGTTGGTATCGGTAATCACATATGAGGAAGGAAAACGGAAAAGGATGCACAAACATAACTTTCGTTGTATGTGTTTAAAGGGGCACTCACACCCCAAAGGTCGTATTTTTTTATTGCCTGAAACGATACAAGCTGTAATCAATAGACACGCAAAAAAAAAAAAAAAAAAATACCGCATCGCGTTTTTTTTTTTTTTTTTTGCTGTTTTGCGCGCGCGTTTTTTGATTTTTTTTTGGCGCTTTTCTCTCTGCTTCTCACCTCCTCGTTTCTTTTGATTTCTGACGCCAAAATCATGAAATTTAGAAGCTTTCTAGGCGACATATCTAAAACATTTAATAGCGGCAATCGTAAAACATGTTTTTAATAGCGAGTTCGTTTCACACGCACTGGCACCGTTCGAGTTCTCTCCCAGAATGCATCGCACTCACAGAGTGTTGCACGGAAAACTGGACTCAAACGAACTCGCCAAATGCACCGAGTGCAGAAGACTGATGCTGCCGCCATCTATGTTGTAGAAAAGGTACCGACTTCAAACCGAAACTAGCACCTTTCTGTTCCGAGTGATGCGTGGGAATGCGAGAATGCGGTCGCTACCAACGTTTATCTACAAACGTTGGCAACTGCAACCTGTAGATTATAGTTGCGATGTCTTCAAGCAGCTCGGCTGCCGTAGAGATAGTTACAGTAGGCGTAAATTTCCGCAACCAGCTGTCTACAAAGCAGATGGTTGCGATCTTTCAATCCTTATAACTGTTTACACTGAAGAAAACTGATGCTGTCCGAGAAGAAGCTTGATCCGTTTGAGCATGGTATTATGCGTTAATCACTAAAAGGGTACGGCTTAAAACTAGCCTGTTGGAATATCCAGCAAAACTGTGACTTTCGATTTGGATCGTCAGATTAGATATTAGCCTTGGTGAGGGCGTCGAGAACGAGAGCTTTCTCGAACAAAATACGACGGGGCAAGTTAGCTGACGTAGGTAAATGTTAAACATGATGATGTTGCCCAATCCTCGGGTAAAGTCACCATCTTTAACTTTCTCTGATGCTTATTGGGCAGTCAGAGGTTTCTGCTGGGGGAGTTTTATCGACAAATTTTAAATTTTCCACCCGCACACGGATGGTGATAGGCACCCCGGGGGCCGCTGTTGCGTTTGTTCTGAGCATTTCTTTACACACTGGTATATTTCAGCGTTTGTACGGCAACAGAGCCATTTAAAACCTGCAAATAAAGCACGGGTTGTCACTTGCTTCCTTCGTGAAATAGCAGACGCTCACAATTCAAGCTCGCGTTTGATTTCGTTGCCCGCGGGACGCGATTTCTATCAGAAAATCTTTTTTTTTTTTCCGTTCGGTTCCGCGACACATCGTAGCAGACGAACCCTCGTCGTCTGCTCCCGCTCCTCGCCGGCCCCGCCGGAGCGAGGCATGACGGGATTGCATTTTGGCGCACTCCCGATTTTCTCGGTGCAGCGAGTGCATGCACGCGTGGGGTGTCAGCGCTGAAACGAACTCGGAAAGTGCAACCATTCGTGGAGCGCCGGCCGAAACGAACCCGTTCCACGCTGCGAGTGGGCACGCGTGGGCACGAGTGCCGTGAAACGAACTCGCGAACGCGCTACGGCCCTTCTTTTCGAAATACCAAAAATCGGAGTCCGTTGTGATGTCGCCTCCTGGATTTCTATCCTCTCTCGGAAAACATGGCGGCGCTCGACACATGTAGCAGAAGGTGATCGGTGAGTCGGGGAATCGGACAAAGTGGTCTTTTTTTAGGTGCTTGGCGACCTCTCAGATTTGGAAAAGGAAATCGTCAAACGGTCGAAACAACTGGGTTTGGTGTCTGTGTATCGTAGTTTCGGTTGACTCCGCCGGGGCAGCGTCGTCTGCTCGAAGCGATAGGCAGCACGGCACGCGCGCAGGAAACCGATTTCCCGGTACGCCGGCGCTCTTTTCTCCCGCTCCTCACATCTTCGCTTCGGGTCGTGACTCGTGGTGACACGTTTCGGAGCGGAGGCGTGAAAGAAACTCGACTGGCAGGACCCCTCAATAATTGACGTCACTTCACCGGCGCGGATTGCGCGGGAACTTCAAATTCGACATTTGGAATTTTTTTATTTTTTTTATTTCACAAACACTGAATTCCCATGTTTCAATTAATTTATTATTAATCAATTAATAAGACAGGTAGGAAACGCCAGAAAGCCAAGGTGGAGTGGTGTAGAGGTTAGCACACCCGACCGGACATTGGGAGGCCCAGAGTTCAAATCCTGGCTCCGCCGATTTTTGGCTTTCGGCGGGTTCCTGAAAACTTTGATTCTTTGATTCATTTGATTAAGTACGGTTCATTCATCTGCACATATTCGTTTATATATATATATATATATATATATATATATATATATATATATATATATATATATATAAATTGGCGATTGAATTAGCGTGTGACAATAAAAAAATTGAATTAGTGTGCCATCATGTGTGTGTTGTGTATGTGTCATCTGTGTTCAAATTTCTTGTCTCTGCTAAAATGTATAATACGCGTGCAAGAATACGTGTGCAAAGGTGAAATAAGCGTTGTTCATATGTGAATGTAATCAGCGTGGAAACGATCTACCCCAGCGAGAACATATTTTTTACCAATTTCGAATTTAACGTTGGTTAGCGTCACCTAGGTGTGTAAGGGCGCAATTTAGTAATAAATGAGGTAAGGGCGCAACATTTAGTCCCAGTGGCCTAAATGGATGGGTGCAAAAGTTAGTCCTGAGGGTTCAACTTTGAGGGACTAACGGTAGGGGAGAAAAGGTTGCTCTTGTTAGCGTTGCTCCCCTAGGGGAGCAATGGTTGTGTCAGCTCATTTTCTCCCTTGACGGAGAAAGTCACGCTCCCTTTTTTCTTAGAGTGTATGAACTAGCCATGAACCAAGACTGATCAAGACTTCAGATTGGGCGAGTTGACACTCCTGCCGAACACGGTGCTGCTGTTGAAGTAAAAGTAGAAGCCGAAGTTTATCATGCGTTAGTGAGCGCTGTGTGAGTGTTTTTTTTTTGTGTGTGTGTTTAGAAGCTTGAGTGACAGTTTTTTGAGTGCGTCGTAACGTCGACCAACATAAGACTTACCATGAAGACTGCGCAGCGCGTGCGGTAGTCCTTGGCGTTACCTATGCCCCTTGTCGCCCCTGTCGGACTGCGGCTAAAGCCCCTCTATCCTGGGAAGAGTGGCGCCATTCATTGTTGTAGAAATGCTCGAGGCACGTGCCGCGCGCCACTTCTGGGAAATTCATGGCGTCTGAAATCTGGCTCAGGGCTGCGCTGTGCCGCCATGGTCTTCCCAAGGGCTGCACGCTGCACGTGCCTCGTGCATCCGCGCACCTTGCGCTACTTTTGAAACATGAAGGGACTTTAACTGCGGCTGGGGCTGGCGGGTGTTGTGTTCGGTGGTGGGCCGGCTGGGAATTGTGTGGCGTCTTGCGTCGACAGCACGTTAGAGCCTGACGCAGCACTGTCTCTGGCGGACTCATTACTAGACCGGGCCGGCCGGGGCTTTGGTCGCCTTCCGTGAAAGGAGAAATGATGTATAGCTTGACTTTCCTCAACCAACATCCCTCCCCTTTTTTGTTCCTTCCTCTTCCTCCTCTTCCTTTATTTCCTTTCGTTGATGCATACGTATGCACTTACGGGTCCCAGGTTGGGTACACAAGCCATTCCGGTATTGGCAGCGTTTGCGCAGTCGCCAGGATTCGAACCTGTGCGGAAAGACCCCAGTGTATATCTAGTCCATCGCCTTAACCACTCGGCCACGACTGCAGGACGACTAGGGGCCTCTGGGATGTGGTAGTAACTCAAGAGCTGGAGATGTCACGGATGAAACGTTACATGTAGCCGCTCAACAGGAGAAGGCGCTGCGGCCAAATGCGTATATAATCGCGTTAAACTTAGCATGCATTGGCTCAACGTTTATAGACGAGAGGGCGCTGCGGTCAAATGCTCAAATGCGTATATAACCACGTTCCATACCACACATTCTCTTTCTGACATGGATGAAAACAAACGAAAGGCTCGACATGCTGCGGCTCAGCGTCTACGCAGACAAGCACCACCAGAGCTTCGCCCCAATCAAAATCAATCACCACGTGGAGATGCGGTAATTTTTGTATTAGTATTTGCGCCGTATATTTTCCTACAGCGCAAGACCAAAACGATCTTTTAGCTTCCGCATCAGAAAAGCTACAAATATTTCGAGGAGTTTTTTTTTTAGGTTCCACATTAATGTGCTGCCCACGGACTTGTAGATCCCTCTCAATGGTTTCCAATCTAAACTGTTAGAAGTTCCAGATTTTGATACACAAGAAGCTACGAACGAATCTATACAGGGCGTTTCCGAGAGCTGCTCGGGCGTAAAAAATTACGTATAAACAAGCCAAATAAACTGAGTGTAATTAAACTCTTCGCAAATGTGACTTTAGATGGTGCAATTATCATACTGAAATTTTGTAGGTGTAGGTTGCAGAGGAAAGAAAAAAGTGCGAGAAAAGAAAAACTTATTATTTTCCATAGAGGGAGGAAAACAAAAGCAAACCGCCGGACTGACGCTGTTTCTCATATACAACACCACGTGGTACAAAAGCTTTAAAGCTTTTGAAAAATGAATATTTTAAAGGAGATCCAGCGTATCTGAGCGTGTGTGGTATAGGACAGGTGAGTAGAGGCGTGAACCACATGTTTTATTTCCTTTTTCTCCCGTTTTACGGCAAATAGTTTATTTCTTGTATTTTCTCCTCAAGCTATACACTTAAGCAATTTGAGTAAACCCTGAACCGGCTCCGAATATCTAAAGCCGGGGTCGCACTGCATCATGCAAAAGACAGTCGGCATACCGATTCAAACGCGAGCCACCGCGAGATCCGTACTTGGAATATTCCGCGTGGCAATGAATTCAAGGAGAAACTTGGCACGCGGCATTCGAACCACGGATATTGCATGCGGTGACGCGTGTTTTCAGACTCTGCTTTGTCTGATGTATGAGCAGTGTGACCTCTGCTTCAGACGCGCGCGACGGTTCTCGCGACGTTCAGAAGAGCATGTCGTCCTTAGGGTGCCTTCATGTGCGAGGACATTGAGGCACCCTAGTCGTCCTCATCGTGCATCTTGCATATTACACCATACCATAATCACCATTACTGGACGCGGCACCACGTCCAGACTGGTGCTTGAAGGCCAACCGGTAGGGGCCTCTTGCCTTTCTGCCAACTCCCGACTCTCCCGAGCCAAATAAACGAAATAAAATGAAACGATAAACAACGCACCACCCAAAGACCGCTTCGTGGGAAGTTTATTTGGGCTCAGTTAGTTGGTAGGGCTTGTTTGCAAAACTTTTTGGGCCCCATAGCTCTCGAGAACTGCATGTACAGAAGAGCTATAAAAGACACCGCGCAGAACCCTACGTTAGGAGCAGATCCTTCTCAATATCAAAGTTTGGGCGGAGTAGTCCCCTTCTTGACCTCCTCCCTTCCCGACGGAACGAGCGAACCCCTTCGGCGGACGCTCAAGTCGACGCCCGGTCGTCACAAGAACGATCGGAGCCGTACCGTAATGTGGATCGTCCGCGACCCCGAAACCACGACTCCGACGGCGGCAGGTGGGCAGCGTCACGCACCGCGCCGTGGCGAGGTTGCGTTCACCGGACGGGCCCACGCACTTCGTTCCTCCCACCTGTCCCCCGACGACTCGGGAGAAGCTCCGATGGAAGTTCTGCGGCGACAGCTGTGCTTCTCCAGGGAGAGCAGCGTCGACATGGGCTCTGACCACGTGAGTTCGTAGACCTCCCCCACCCCGGAGCACAAGGACATTCCTGGACAGAATGAGCTGGTGTGGACTTTAGCGGGGGGCAGTGATGAACGGATGCTTGACAGTCGCCGCTTCTCCAAGTCGTAAAAAGCACTCGCGTCAGGTGCACTTCCTCGTACGTGGGCCCACATCTCCAGTGGTTTCTTTCTTTTGCGCTGGGGTGGGGATTCTGCAGTTCGTGGTGTAGCTGGACTTAGAAAGATGTTTTTTGCGCGGCTAATACTGACACGAAAAGGACGATTTATATATTTTTCAGAAATTATCGTCGTCGCGGTTTTTGCTCTCGTGTTGGAAAATCTCCAACGGTTCAAGACACCGAGAAGGAGGGTAATATTTTCCTGACCAAAGAAGCTTGTATATGGGTTCTTTACACTATAATTCTACTTTGAATCTTGGAAAGTTTTAGAGCGCTATGATCATGGTGTTTGAATGCAAGATAACCTTATGTTGATTGTGGAAAATACAGGCAAGCGTGTGAAAAGCGCTTAATAAATGTAAAAAAGTATTTTCTCTCTCTTCCCTCTCACTCTCTCGGTACGCCACGGTGAAGGTCTCCCCCTTTCCGCCTCCAATTTTTTTACAGTGCCGTCAGCCTTGACATGCAGCATCACCGCCATTTTTTTTCGCATTTAAATGTCTCATGCATGGTAACGGTATTTGAGTTAGTCAGTTTTGACGTTGTCACTAGAAAACGGAAACATTTCTCACCACGTATCTTTCGCCGAATAAATTTAAAAAAAAAGAAAAAAAAAATGCCCCGCACACTACTTTTAAAAAGTAAACTTAAAGCGTAGGAATCTAAGATTGGTAAGTGTGCATAGAACGCTGAAAGACTTTGAGTATCTGTAGTAACTTCCGCGCTCCAACTAGCTCCGTCTCACAATTAAATGAAGAAATGTTGATATACATGGCTATTGAAAAACAAAGTAAGACTGCTTAATTATTGAATGAACAAACTGACATACCACAACCGTCATGACGCGAAAAACAACAACTTCCCATGTTACACATATGCATATTAGAAACTATTATGTTGACGCCATTGGTGACACAGATGCGAATAAAACGCGGAGAGGAAGTCGTCTGCTTTTTGCACAGGAGTTGCGGGGATATCAGAACAACGTCGACTCGTTGTTCTGATGTCACACATAACGCTGTAATTCAGAGCACAGCCGACATGAGGAGTCAGTGTGTTAAATTCATTGATCGCGGAGGTGAGAACGCCCTCTCTAGGAGATTTATGTGCACCAGAAGCACGGACATGTTTTTCTGGTTTTTCATGTGATTACGGATGGAATATGTCTGCTTATTTAGGAATATGCCTGCTTTATTTTTGAACACTCAATCTTTTTAAAATGGTCCTCTACTCGAAGTACCAATCATTCCCTGTTTGTAAAATTTCTACCAACAGTCTTGAAGCATTGCAATAATCAATGACCGGAATTGATGCGCGTATATCTTCTTTTTGTAGATGCGATAAATGATGGGGACAGGCCACCAGAACAACCTGTTAACATTACCTTTTAATTACATTAATTAATATTTCTAAATGCTCTTTGATAATATTTTGTTTTGTTCTGAGAACATTTCACATGTCGCGTGATGACCGCATTGACATATCTATACCCTGTTTCACCTTTGATGTACCGCAGGAAAGGCTACAAGCGCGAGCTTCTTGCTCTAGGGCACATCTTGGTGGCACAAGCTCTCGTGCATTAAGGGAAGCTGCCAACGCTGTAAGCTCGCACTTCTAGCCTTCGCTGCGGTACAACATAAGGTGAAACGGAGTATAGACTTTGATTTCACTTGATCTTTGTTTACATATGCTCCACCAAAGATTCAAACGTTCCACGCCTAAATGCGCGTTAAAAAAAAAAGTGGTTTTTTTTTTTTTTTGCTGTTGCTTTTTTGCGTGTTTTGACACCTTTGTGTTTGAAATAGACTTGGAAAAAAAAAAACAGAAAATGATTTTTATAAGAATGATACCTGTATTTGAACTCTATAACCGTCCTGTGAACCTTGTCATGGTTCACGGGCCAAGAGTATGTTGAATTCACATCAGTATGTTTGTAGCCATTGACAATCCAAAGGACAACAGAAGGCATAGGGATCGCGCGCCGGAGGCCTGGCGTTCGAGATACGCGTCTTATTCTTTCTCATTCTTTCAGCAATTATAGCCGTTGATTGATAGATATTGACAATAAATGAGAAACAGTAAAAACAACCTGGGCGTTTTTGTTTTTTTTGCAATAGTATTTTTTTTGTATTAGAGTAAAGGAAGGAGGAAATAAAGACATATGTGAGAACACGCTCTCTTTTATTAGAGAGTTTTAGCAGATCGTTCCCATGACTCCGATAACGATACCCGATACTCCGCCACCGCCTCCCTTGTGCATGCATAGTATCGTTATCGGGGATATCGGAGGTATCGGAACGATTTACTAAAACTCTCTATTATCGCTGGATTGGTGGCCAAGTGGGCTATCACGCACACATTAGCCCGGAGCATGTGGAGCGAGAGGTCGCGCTGCAGAACCCAGGGTCCTGGGTTCTGCAGCGACACAGCATCTGGTGTCACTGCAGTCGTCGCATCACCGACAGAGCATCTGGTGGTGGTACGGAGATGTGAGTTTGTTTTGCCGGTGAGTGGATAGCAAAATCTCGGAATACAAGAAACGTCTCCCAAAAGCTACCCGTCACCAGCGAATCTAAATCGGCTCACCAAGAACGGAGGGGTCAAGAAGAAATTGCTCATTTCACGGACCAAGATTGCGACCATATGGTGGGCTTGGTGCTACTTTCCCAGGATACAGTGACTTTAGCCAACCCCAGCGCATGGCTAGGATCAACATTGGCGGCATATAATCGACTCCAGGTCACGAGGCCGCTCGTTCTGGTCGTTATTTGAAAAAATAAGCACTGCTCGTTTTTTAAAACCTTTTTAGCCGCGACTTCTATTGCTTGTGGTCTATGGTGTGGTGAAAAACGAACGCTGTTTCGTAGGCCAATAACGTAAGGGATTGGTTGTAAGCGGTATTTCCGCAAAGTACGAAAATCCTTGCATCGCCCTTTTAAAATGTCCGATGTTTCGGAATTGACGGAGTATTCCTGGATCACATTTTGAGGTTGTCGACATTCTCCTGCAGAGTCAGCGCGGTGGCAACTTCCCGCTAGACATGAACATGTACGCCACCCGCAAGACGCTGGCCCAGGGCATGCTGGACCTAGCTCTGCTCTCGGCCAACGCCTGCCAGCTGCGGAGGGCGCTCAGCGTGCCGCCGGGACAGCGCTTCTTCGGCGCATCCGTCGCCTTCCTCGGCCTGTCCATCGCACTCCAGGTACGCTGCAGGTCTTGACTGCAGGAGCGTTGCCCTTCACAAGATGCCCATGAGAAAATGGGAAGCTGCACGTGCGGAAAAAAAAAAAGAGGTGTCGCTTTCGACGATTTAGTTGTGGCAGCTAATGTTGCAAACGCAATTACATCAAACACTGCTCCTAAGATTGAGACTCATCCAAAAAAAGGTACGTGGGGTACGTATCTGTATTTTCATTTAGAAATGTTCCCGAATACATGCAAAGGTACTTAAGATATATTAATTGTGACGAGCTTTGTTATCCCGGTTTACTGACATAGTTCGTCAATGATGGTTGCGAATTGCTACCGTTAATGCTGCGCAGGCCCCGCGCTACTTTATCTTGTGGTGGCATTGCGTTTCACTACGACGACATTCGGTTCCTTGCCGTTGTCAACACATTTTACGGCTTTTTGTTAAATCTTTTTAGGTAAAGGGATCACGATTAGTTACCACTTCAATAGTGTACTGAACCAGTGACAGTTAATAAGGAGCTTTAGTAAATCGTTACCATAACTCTGATAACGATACCCCATACCCTGCCCGCTAATTCGTGCATGCATTGAATCGTTATCGTGTATCGTCGTCGCTGCTATTAAAACGATATACTAAAACTCTCTGAGGAGGTAGAAACGCAAGACACGGCCCCCACATTTCAGCGTTAGTACGAGAGCCGACATTTATGAAGTTCTCAACATCGCACGCCCGGTGGGAAACTTCCAACAATGCACGTTGATAGGGAATCACCCAAACACACGAAAAAAAAAAAAAGACTTTCAGCTTTTGCATTTTGGTGAAGGAAGACCAGCGTAGCTGTTCTATGGTAAGAATGAAGTAATGGCCGGCCGGAGGTCAGCAACCCAGAGTGGAAAGGCTGGAAAGGTTGCCGCCATCTTTGAGCGACGGCGGCAACCGGCAAAACCGGTTATCTGGTTTCCGCTGTCATTCATAGATGGCGGTAGCTGTCCAGAGTTTTTTGATGATATACCTTTATGCACTCTTAGAAATAGGGGGTGTATAGAAGTACACCCATTGTCCCATATGTAACACGTTAAAACTATATTTGGACGTTCAGTCCACTGACGTCGAGCTGGCGATACCAACTTTCACGAGCGGCTTGATAGCTGTTGGATATAACGTACTAAATAGCTAATGTGCGAATGAAAGACTAGGGAAAAAAACACACTAAGGTTTTGCAGCAGGACCAAAAAAACCTTGAGTGTTTTACTGTAGCCTTTAATGCTTGCATTTGCTATTTTAATGGGTTGTATCGGTCGACTATCAAGTCGCTTTTGAAAGTTGCTATCGTCGGTTCGACGTCTGTGAAGTGAACGTCGGATTGTTGTTTTGGAGTGTCACATATGGGACAAGGGTGTATCCATATGCACGCCCTATTTCTTAGAGTGTAGCCCTTAACAGCTCCGCTGTAAGAGATATCTTCATAGCCTTAATTTCGGAACACGTAGATGGGATAAATTCTTTTTCTGCAAACTTCCTCTCGTTGCAAAAATGGTTAGCTTTAGAGAAATCTAAATAAATAGAATCGTAATTAATATTTAAATAAACCAAAACAACACTTACTTTAATAGCAATCTTGATAATATTTAAAGAGCGTCTAGAGAAAGAGTATACGTGGTCTTGTAAAGGCCGAAGTCACAATTAAATGAAGTTCATTTAAAAATTGATGCTGAAATCGGCGCTGTCGCTATGCTGATCCTCGACGAAATGTGTTAGCATTTAGCGCAGGTGTTCCGACTCCAACCTCTTTACCAACCAAATTCCAACCTCACAGCGTTTTTCTTTTCGCTTGGACGGTCTGTATACTGTTGTCTTGGGAGAGCCAGTCTCTCCTCCTGGGCGTCGGCGATTTCGGATGCAGCCACCACAGCTTCCATCGATTGCCGCCTGCGGTCCGCATCCCGTTGTATTGACAATAGCTCCCGGGTGTCGGCGGTTCGCGCAAACAGCGTCGTTGCTGCGCCTCGGTCTTACGTTGTCGCGTACGTTGTGCTATCGCCACGGCCGCTCGATCCCCTCCGCCTCCGCGGTGCGTCAATGGAAGCAGTTGGAAGCGTGTCAGAAGACACTTTCCCTCTTGTAACATGGAAAGTGAACGTAACAAGAAAACAAACGCCCCAACGCTAAAAAAAAAAAAAAAAAAAAAAAAAAAAACATTGAACAGTAAAGCAGAAGGCTTGTTATACGCAGGAAAAATCACGCCTACGTGGACTGGTTTGGTTTGGATTGGACTTTGAGTTTATGACCTGTAACTATTATAACATATGGTAAGGAGGCAAAGGAAGATGAATGCATACCATTACCAGTCTCCCCTATAAAACATGTTTTTGTAGGGCAGTAATGGGCACAGGTGACAATTAAGTCTTCATAATGAACGGAGAAAGTCAGTGATGTTTAAAACTTAAAACCTGCCTGAAAGGAACGGATAATTCGTTGCAGTGCAGTAGCACTGAGTGCAGATGGACATGCTACCCATAGAGCGGAGAAAAGTGGGATTGTCGTTTTTTGTCATAAACGGGACACTCAACAAGAATCTGCTTATGAGCTGTGAGTAGGGTTCCGTGTTTTCGGAGTTTATTTTTCGTCAAATTCCGAAAGCGCTTTTCGGAGTTTTTTTTTTTTCCGAAGATTCGGAGTTTATCGGAGTTTATATTTTTTAATTCCCGATTCTCCGAAATTTGGAGTTTAAATTGGCTGTGTTTTCTAATAAAAATAAATAAATAAATAACAACCGAATGTAAACGTATGCAAGATAAAAAAAAAAAGAAACCGGCTTGTATCAATTGATATATCTTCAGTTGAATTTGGCGTTGGTGCCATTGCCATTGGCAATACTAATTTATCCACGACAAAAGTCATACGCAAGTGGCGCTTCGATAAACGCCGATACCTTAAAATCAATATACTCCCGGAGGTAGTCGATAGGAAGCTCGTAGTCATCCCATCCAATTCCATCAATCTAGCCCGCGGCCGCGCGAGGTGGAGTGGTTAAGGAGGTAATAGAGAGTTTAAACTGTCCCTCTTCCAAATTTTATCCAATTCCTATGGTTCATAGCTTTCACTGTTACTAAACATACCCTTTCCTTTTTCTCAATTACAAATCGCATGGCCCAAACTGGAAACCAAAAAGAGTGGCTTCTGTCGTGACCCGAATGTACAACGAACGACCTGTTGCCCTGAATCAATCTCGAAGAGACAAGCGGCAAGACCCCTTTTGACAACGGTCCGAGATTTGAAAGATAATTATGGTGGAATTTTCCCAGGACCATTGGCTGAGTGCTGATCAAACTGTCAAAAAAAAAAAGTCTTTTACTTTTGTTTTTTGCCGGTTTGGGGGGGGGGGGGGGGGCAGTGGCATTGACACATAATATTTGAACTTTATCGAATAAATCCGAATTGACCAAAATTTTACCGGCGGGTGTTTCTCGGAGTTTTTCGGATTTATCCGAAAACACGGAGCCCTAGCTATGAGGCATATCACAACGGTCACACGTGTCGGTGGTTTCGAGCAAACGGCGTCGTTGCGCGAAACCGCCGTCACAATTCAGAGCGCAAGTTCGTCTGCTTCTTTTGCAGAGGTTGTGGTTAGGTCAGAACGCCGAGCGCTGATTGGGGCATAGCAGCGTATTCCATACGGAGAAGGTGGGTCAGATGTGTGTAACCGATGTAGCCACGAAGCAGGAACAAAGAAACGTTTCTGTACGCAACCTGTTGTAAACCTCGGCCTGCCAGTGGGAATCGTTTCGTGACTTGGCAGAGACACTACGGATATGCGTGAACGGTATACTGTCTATGCCATACCTGTGCTAACGCAAGAGCGAGTACCATGAGCCTCCTTATTGCCTGGAATGCCCACATGGCTGGGAAAATGACTATTACGATTCTACGTCGGCCCTGCAGGACCATTTTCTTTGAACCCCATTGACGAGAGCGTTTATTTAAGACACTTGTGAGGAGATGGCTCGCAGAGCACTGCGGGAATTAGAGAAAACAACTTCGAGGAGAGAGAAGTTCCATTGATAAACCAATGACAAAGCAGCACGCACGAAAAAAAAAAAGAACTTACTTGATTTTAGAAGTATGAAAAATTGCATAAGCTTCACTGCGAGCAGCCAGTTCATAAAGTTTTTGCAGAAAACACAGCATCTGGAGTATACTTTTACGGCGACAGCCGTTATTGACGATGTTTTGCAGAGGATCTCGGGCCGTTTCATGTTGTTCCGATGTCGTAGTTCGAAAATATTTTCCACTAATAGCCGATTCATACGATGGACCGAACCGCGATTTTCGTCCGCGGACCGTGTACCACGTGACCGTCACATCACCGATTCCTAAGACCTTTTTTTTTTTTTTTTTTTCTGTAGTGTATATTTTTGTGCACGATCGCGGAGTATTTGAAGGCATCTCCAAACGCCCCTCCGCGAGCCCAGAACCTTGTCGCCTCTATGCCGAAGCCCTCTCGAGCAGGACCTTACCTGTGTCACCGTCAAGTCTTCGGTTAGTAAAGCTAGTCGCGCTTCGCGCGAGGCCTATCATGGTGTTCTGTCTCTCTCTGCACGAAACAGCGGAGTACGATTTTTTTTTTTTATCGTTGTAGTAAATATCGATTGCTCTCTTGAACAACGGCGCCACAGTGCGATGTTGGAGTTTCGCGGCACTATAGGGTGGCGAACAGGTTCGTTCCGTCCTCGCTGGCGTCTGCGCGTCGTCTCCTTCGCGTGGATGCGCTCGGGAGACGGACGATACCGCGGACATGTTGTCACGTGATCAATCCGTCCGCGGTTCAGTCCATCGTGTGAATCAGCCATAAACGTTATGATGTCACATGACGTCATTTGATACCATGACATCGCGTGACGCTATGACGTCACGTGGTATCGTGGAGTCACGTGACATACGTGACGAAGTCGTAATTAGTGTGCAGCATGTTTGTGTGCATTCTGCGCTCAACAGTGTGCACCACTTCG